CATTTCAAAATCAATTGAGAGATTTGAAAGAATTCTGCACTGTGTGAAGTGTGCTATCTCAGTTTTGACAAAATTAAATGTTAGTTCTTCTTTACTGACTCAATCATTTAGCAACTTGAAATCCTTCTGAAGAGTAATAACATTCTCTTCAAAAGTGATTCCAGCACTAAGCAGTCCTAAATCATCTGTGTAGTCTGAATGTGCATGTCTTCTTTGTATAGTTTCTAGAAAGAACAGAGGCTGAATAGACAGCATGAATAGAATAGATGAGACTGATGAGTCTTGTGAAAGCTCTGCTAAAATATCAAAGAGCTCTTTCAGAAGTTCATTCATTCTGATTCTGTCTGTGCATTCTGTCATGAAGCTTTTCACTCATCTAATTAAATTTGATGATCAGTCTTGTTCTTGCAGTCTCCACAGCATTCTTTCTCTGAGTACAGTATCAAAAGCACTTTTGATATTCAGAGTAAGAAGAGAGACTACTTTTCCATGAGTTCAGACTTTCTCTATATCATGAATCATCACTGCCACTAAATCTGAGACAGCTCATTCAGAGAGGGCTTTAAAGTGCTGAAGATGAACAATCTTCTCTCATATAGTCATTCAGACCAGTCTATGAGCTACCAGACATTTCAGTTCCTTTCTCAATGTTGAGAGAAGGGCTATAAGTCTGTAGAATTGCAGAAGTGTTGAATCTCTGTTGACCTTACACAGCACAACCAGTGTGACTTCTTGAAAGAAGGTTGAGTGCCAGTCAACTCTAAGGCAGACTCTGAACAGCCTTTTCACTGATATCTTAATATGTGGTCATGTCTTTTGTAGCACCTCTGTTGGCACTTCATTGATTTCTGAAGTGATATTATCTGTGTTCAGCAGAGAGTTTTGTATCTCATGTACTGAGGCAACAGAAAATGATAATTTGACAGATGATAAATTGAATCAGCTAACTGAGATATTCTCTCTGCTTGCAGCCTTCTGTAAGAGCATCTGTTGCAGAAGGTCTCTTTTCTCTCTAGAGATTGTTCACACTAGCTCAGTCTATTCCTCTATGAGAGGAGAATGAAAGAAGCCAGTTGAATGGGCTCATTTGATCATCTTAAAGATATCTTTTCCTGCTGAGACCTCTGCTATCTTGCATCATCAGTATTTCCTCTTGACTTTTTTGGTGATCCTGGCTACATTGCCTTTTGCTTCATGTAAAAATCTAGAGTCTAGATGCTGTGCTCAATGTAGTGTTGTCACTGCTTTCTGACAGTTCTCATTCCACCATGGCTGATCTGTGTCTTGTCTGATGCTCTTTTTGATGAAGCTTTTCAGAGAAGCTACTAGTGCATCTGTGATATCTTGAGCCAGGGCATCCAGCTGATCTGTATTGAAGTACTCTGAAATATCACATAATTTGTCTAGTTTTGACTTATAGACCTTCAGCATCTGGTTAAAGACCTTCTCATCCATGATGTCAAGACAGAAAAGATGAGATGATCTGTCAGACCTTGCATTCCATGAAAGGCTGATTTTGATGAGAAGAGTCTGATGATCAGAGAAAGTGTAAAAGAATCTGTCCATCTGTGTGTCCACTTCTTTGATAACTAATTCCAGAGTGGCCCAGGCCAGGTCTAGCATGTTATGCCCACATGTGGAGGTGTCTGAGTCCATGATGAGAGTAAAGTTGAAATTCATGATTCATTGCAGGAATGGTTCCACTCACATGCTTGAAGGCACTTCTGATTGTCACACAGAGTGCTTGATATTGAGATTGCCAGCAAGAAGCAAAGAGAGTGCTGGAATGAATCAGAAGAGAAGACAGCTGACATCTTGTTCAGAATTCTCTGCATCTAAGAGTGCATTGTATATGTTGACCATCTGAAGCTGTAGACCTCAGATCTGTATGTGCAGCATGTGGATGTTCTGGTTTTCTGCCCAGAGATCAGAGACTGCATGAGCATGGATTTGTGAGTGTTTATGCACATAGATGAGAACCTGTGACTTCCTGTCTCACTTTTTGATTGAGGCAAAGCAGTTGAATGCTGAGTGCTTTTTAGAGATGTGTCAGCTTAAGTTTCTGTGAATTCAGTGTTTCTGTATGAGAAGAATGTCAGTCTTTCTTTCAAATGCTAGATTGAGAGCTGTCTCATGTGCTGAGCTCTCTTTTTCTATATTGACTTGCATAATCTGCAGAAATTGTGAAGACCTAGAGTTCTTCTTCATTGAGTAGCTGAAAGGAGAGTGTTGTTGCATGAGATGTCATGTTGAATGTTGCATTAGATGTTGAATTGAGTGCCATGTCTAATGCTGTGTCTGATGCTGTGCTCAATGCTGTGCTTAATGCTGTGTTTGATGTCAGCATGAGATTAGATCTACACTTGATAGAGTCATTCAACCTCAGATCTGCTGATGGACCTCAATCATCACATTTGCTGTTACTTGCTTTGATCAAGTATGTCTTACTCTGTGCATTGTGGATATCCCTCAGCTAATTTCTTGAGTGTCTTTGAATAATTTCATTCTTTATCTCTGATCTGACAGAGCAGAATGAATCATTCACAGCATGTGATTCAAGACAGTTAGTGCAGTGATTGAGGCATCCACATGCTTCATTCTTCTTATGACAGAATAGATTTTCTTTCACATGATTCTTAGAACTGCATTTTTTGCAGTGAGGAATGTGAAGACAGTATCTCTCTTGATGAAATCCTCAGCATCTGCTGCATTGTTGTATTTTGATCTTAGATGTCTTTCTAATCACTGATCTTTGATATTTATATAGTTCCACTCTTGATGGCAGATTTGCTGCTGTCTCTTGTGAAAAATGTAATATAAGAGTGGCTGTTGAGTTTTCAGAGTGTATTTTTGCCCAGCAACTCTGAACAGACTTAATTCTGATTTGAAGTGTGAATTCTTCTGTCATGAATTCTGCTGAGAGACACAGAGTTTCATCATCATAGTCACTAATCTTCATGAGCAGCTCAGAAATCAGACAGATGATTCAATGTTCTTTCTTCTCTATCTGAGTGTTGGTGAGAGTGGCTGCTACAACATTCTTTTTGACTAGCAGAGTCTTCATGTCTTGAAAGCTTCTAGAGATGATGACAATGCCAGTGGAGATGACTTGAACTGCTGTGATGGCTGCTGTCAAAGACCCCAGAAGTTCAGTCTTCAGCTTTCTAAGAGTAGTGATTGGGCTTGCTTTGCAAGCTAGATGATCTGAAGGCAGGCACACAAGGATTTGTGATGTTTTTCCTTCTCTGGGGTTATTCCTAAGCAGGGGTTTCTGCAGTATGGTTGTTGATGTTTTGCTACATTAGTGCTGTCTGCAGCTGTCTTTGTGTAGGTAGGAGCTCTTGCATCATTTGCACCAGTGGAGTCAGTAGGCTTGATTGTGATGGACTGCTTAGCTGTTTCTAGACTTTCATTGTACCAGTCCTTGACTAACACCTTCATGGCGGCTCCAAGGGCCAGTGCCCTTGATAGGTCTTTTGCCTTCATGCCATCTAAGTCTTCTTCAATCTGATCAAGCATATTTGCAGCAGCTAGTGCTTCTGCATGGGATTTCTGTGCCTCAGCCTCATGGGCAGCTAGGAGATCGCTAGCCATCAGGCCACGTAGGTTGAGACATATTGGTGCGACATTTATGCTCTTTGAGCTGCCTGCTGGTGTAGGGGAGCTTGGAGGCTCCATGTCATTCAGTTCACATGTGCAGCGGGCGATTGGGGTGGAGAGATGGGGTCTCTTGGGTGGACGGCGTATGGGGGAGCAGATGCGCGTCAAGGCTCGGGACGCGTTCGGTGGTGTTGGGGGGCTGGGCGCGCTGGCGGCGCTGCGTCGGCACGCCATCAGGCTTGCTGCCTGAGGGGATGGGAGAGAGCTTATAGGGATGTGATCAGGATTGATTAAGATGTTTTTGTATATGAGACTTGTTGTTTTTGCGGTTGCTGCTTGATTCATTGCAAAGATTGCTAACTATGAGAATGACTGTGGCAGAATATATGTCACGTGACAGAATGGTCAGACAAGTTTTGCTTGGGGATGTATGATAAGCTTAGTGAACACTCTTGATAAGATAGGGTTTCAGGACTGGCGAGCTAACTGAAAACAGTAACCTTGATGAGCGGGGAGAGTCTGCTTATATTTCTTTTCTTTGCCTTTTTTCTTCTCTCCCTTGCAATTTTTACGCCGTTTTGCCAGGCACCTTTATATAGAGCTCAACTTCCACAACACTACTTAATTTAATAAGAAGATAACAAATATACCTTTAAAACTAGATCATGCCCTGCTACAGAGTTCATCACCTACGTAAGGTGATTTCCCCCTTGTCAGTTTTGACATAATGCCCTGGCTGGTTGTTCAAACCCTGTCATAAATCCATGCCATTTAAATATAAATGAATATAAAAAATAATCCCGAACTCTATCTGCTTTTATATCGTTTCAACTCTAACTAGCTGGGATAGCTCAACTTTCCCGCACATTCCTCCCATTTCCAGGCCTCTTTACGGTATTGAAGAGCAAAGTATAAGGTAAACTAGTTAGTGAGTTATTCGATAAGGATTATTAAATAGATATAGTGATCGCTCCGCTACAATGTGGAAATCATGTTGATGCAATTAAAGATACAATAATTAGAAGTAAATCTCTCCCTCCCAAACATAGCTTTCCAAGCATTTTGGAATTGTATCACGTGTAAAGAATTATCAGAATATGTTGCTCATCATTTATTGTAAGATCTCTCCTAACCCAGTTCCTGTACTAAAGAAGATGGAAAACTATAGAGGGAAAAAGAGTAATGAAAAAGGTAATAGAAAAAGTAAAAGAAAAAGAAAATTGCCAAATAAGAAACAACCAGGGACGCCCTGCTACAAACCAAGAATTAAAATACACTTTCAGAGCCAGGACAGCAATTCCCAACCACACCCATCTCATCTCATCTCCTCCTCATAATCATCATAATAGCAGAAGCATCGTAGGCTTTGTATACCAGAAGGAAACAAGAAGATAGGAGAGCTACAGTCCCGGATTCTCTTTAACAACCTGTCTAACTTTCTTCTCGTACGCAGCACGATCTTTCTTAAATAGGGTATAGGCTTCTGCCTGCGCAGGCGACTCCGGGTTCGGGTCGTCCAGAAGCGCTTGGATCCCAACAAGGATTTGTGGGATGGTTATAGCTGGCTTCCAGCCTTCTTCTTCGTTGAGGATGGATAGACAGACTGTGCCGGAGGGGTAGACGTTGGGATGGAAGAGGGGCGGCACGAATTTGCCTTGGGAAAGAAGTTAGTAAGTATGTATGTGTGTGGATGTGTATGGGGGAATGAACGGCGAAAGTCGAGAGCGTGACTCGACATACACTTTGGCGGCTTGGTTGGGTACTCTGTAGTTAGGTATCAGAAATCGCAGTTAGAATCCGGTTTTCCAAATAAATACGTGAATATACATATATATATTTGGGTTGAAGCACAGCACACCCACCGTCGGGAAAGATGACGTCCAGCTTAAACAGTCCCCCTTCCCATATTGTGTCAGGCTTCCCGGGGATCCCACATTGCCAATACTGCATGTCCTGTGCTCCTGCTGCGTTTCTGCGTGGCTTTGCATAAAAGCCATAGGGGTGGTTTCTTCGCCATTGCTTTCTGCAGGATTATAAGGGAAGGATCATTGCGGAATTGTCAGTAAAAAATGAACCGCTGAGAAAGGGCAAATATCGAAATCAAAAATTGAAATACTAGCTAGCTTCAAACTGACCGTTCTTCCGTCAGACGATTTGTGCAGAGAGATGACATGGTTGCTGATGGGTTCGAATGCTTGTAACCTGGAATGGGATATGGATGGTCCAAGATAAGAGGGAGAGGGGCGGCGGTCTTGAGAGATAATCAATTGAGCTTTTGAAAGTAGAATTAATCCGGTATATAGTAATAAATAAGCAGTTTGAACGGTATTAGTTTCACTTTACCAAAAGAGAGAGAGAAGATGTGATGATATGATAGTCAAGGACGTTGAAGCTGAACTCAAAGCACTGGGAAAGTTGCCAAGCCTGGGACAAAATCAGGTAAGATCAGCGGGAAAGTCGCTAAGCTATCATTCCACATGGTTTGTTGGCGGCTAACCACCTTCTCAAACCTTCTTTTCTTGTTAATCTGAACTTGAGGGAACAGAGACAGGCTGCAAATATATCATTTGTTGAATTTTGTTTGTGGGAACTACACTCATGATGAGGTGAGAATTATTTCTACCAGTTCATGATTAAAGAAAGTGTGTATTCTTTTGTATAATTTCTTTGTTTTTCTTTTATCTCCTCGTTTTGCCTCCTCCATCGCCCTGATTAATATTTTCAAGTATATATGACGGTGCGCTGATCGAGACAGAATGTCTTCAGCTTCTCCTGGACGTCGTATAATATCATGCAGCTCATAGTTCAATTTCTTAGTATATCCTGATGTGAGAGTCTGGAGCCTTCTTACACCTTGCACTGTTTTCAACTTAGCAAAAGTATATCACGACGCTCGGGCACAATCCCGGGTAAGCTGTCCTTCCGTCGAAAGCGACCCCAAGGAAGTCGTCGCTCAAAATCATACCAAATCAGATCCCTCGCTGATCACAACATTCCTGAGAAAAATTGCTTGGGTGATTCGTAATGTTTTGATCTCGGACTACTGCAATTCAACCTAGCTCATATATGCTACATCATTGCTCACATTTCCCTTCCTTTCCGCCCCAAAGAGATGGATCCATAAATATATTCTATACTGGAGAAAACACCCTCTACAGCAGATTTCCCCGAGAGTAAACAATTGATGAATAGATTTGCTATCCATTTAAATATTAAACAGCTCCAATCCGACGAAAGGCTTCTCCACCCAAAATATTACGCAAAGCTGAAGAAGATAAGAATTATAAAAAACAATCTCTTCCAGAGGAAGCATGCAGCAACGTAAAAATCATAAACATCGGATATAATCGAATTATACCCCCGGCGGGACTCGAACCCGCAACCTTCAGATTAGAAGTCTGACGCCCTACCATTGGGCTACGAGGGCTGTTACATGACTTTTTAGATTCTGGAAAAAAGTTTTCAAGTAGGTTCATATATGCTCTGTTGCCAAGCAGTTCACTAATCCAGGTATGGTAATTTCCCAGTGCTGCTCTTTGTACTACACATAATTTATTGACAAATTTCCATCAATTTGAAACAGATAATGTTAGAAATTATTGTTTTGTTTGGAACTTTGAATTGAAATATGAAATTGAGCGCTCAGTTATTGTCAGAAAGTGCCTCTGATAACTAACTGTTGCAATCTCATCTTTTTGTAACGATAGTTATCTGCCAACAAATTGTCTCAACTTCTCTTCTCCATGTCGAGACACAATTCCGGTGTGCTTGACATTTGGTGATAGAACCTAATGCACAGACTCATTTTGGTATGTATGTAACATTTTAATTGAAAATAATTCGATACTTAAAAGTGATGTATTTACGGGACTTTTGAGGGTTTAAGACCATTTGAATGTTGTTGCTTGCTTTGGTTGGAGCGCCCTAAAACAGGTGATCTATAAATAGTTCAATAAAAGGCGTCGTTATATACCATCTCTCCCGAACTCCAATTGCCCCACATGAGTTGACCGCAGCGAGAGGGATACGTATAACAAATGGCTTCCCGAAACCCCCTTCTCTCCCTTCATCGTCGCTGTCGTGTTCAGTATTTGTATCAATATCATTATCCTGCCTCTCCCACAAAGAATCTTCTAGCTGCGAACCATCTCTTACGTTCATTCATCAGCCCCCATCAGCAGCGGAAAATGGGGTCGACTGCCGGAAAGAAGAATGAGTATTTGGTAATTGTGCCGGATAAGGAGGGGTCATTGCAGAGGAGAATAGATGTTCGAAAGTGAGTTTTGAATACACATATATGCCCTCTTCCTTTCTTTTTTTCTTGTGTCGTAACTTGTTGCATGTCTTTGCGATGGGTTCTGTTAAGGAGAGTATGAGTATCTGGTACCCCTTTTGGGCTACCGCCCGTGCCTGGGGCTGGCTCAGCGGGAGCCTTATAGATTGCATGTAAACTAGATCAATGTAAGAGGGATATGCATAGCTGTGCTCATGACAGCTTTTCTAGAGGCTAAGCCTCTGGTATCCCCTTCTCACCGCCGTGACTTGCCTCTCTCGATATCATGTGAACAATGGCTAATTACATATATGCAGTGTTCACCTCGCCAACATTAAACCAGTACTAGACTCCGGATTTCTCAAACTTGGAGGTAAAATATGAATCTTCCCTGACTTACCATGATGCAAGTCCTCCAATTTGTGTCTGATATTGCCAGAACCGGAGAACTGGAAAATTGCAAAAGCCATCAAGTTAATCAATTGGATTTCCAGGAGCATTGCTTGAATATCATCCTGAAGAAGGACAGACACCCCCCATGAAAGGGAGTGTGTTGATCGTAGTTTCTGAGTCCCCTGAAGCTGTGCGAGAGCAATTGTCAAAGGACATCTATGCAACGTCAGGAGTGTGGGATATTGACAATGTATGTGTATTCCCGAACCCTTCCTACTCCCCCTTCGTAATTATTTGATCTTTTTGTTTCGTTTTATCACACCCTACACATGTCATTCCTCCTTATTCAGTTCTCAACTTCCCACTTTTCTGATCGGAGTCACTCAAATCATATACTAATCAAATCTCCAGATGCAAATTACTCCGGTGTGTTGAGCCTCCAACTCACAAGTTCCCCCGCCTTCATATTTTCATGTAAACTAATCCTCTACAGTTTAAATCCGCTATACGGCTCCCGCTGTAACTTTGGGGGTTTTCGAAATTGCTTTAGCGGCCATGGTTATCGGAGCGAAGTTTTGGCCGAATCTGAGCCAATTGAGTGCACGAAGGAAATGTCCATGAATAAATGCGGTCTGATTTCTCAAGATCATAAAGCGCATATAGATATATATAGTTGTCTTTGATTTTCGGATTTCAAATCTGGACTGATTAACCCGGTTATATTCATTTAAATACCGTAAATATTCTTTCTTTCAAGCCTTTGTATTTTGAGTGATAGTTACGCAAAAGGAAGGCGGGCTAAAGTATAAGCAAAATATATGTTTATCTTCATAACAATGTCTCATGTAGGACTTTATACTTCTGCTGTAGAACAAGCATAAATAGCACTGTCACAAGATGTCAAGTGAACCAATCATCATCAAATACAACATGAGAATGTGAAATAAAACCAAAGCGGTGACATTAAGCAATAATATTTTTCAAAAAAAAAAATTTATTAGTAAAACATTGATTCCAGCTGCTCTTTTAGTCCAGGTGCAACAAATTCCTAGACAGGTAAAATTTTCATAGATTCCATCGATTTGTGGAAGCGGCCTTATCTCTTGGGCCGGGAGTCTGTTGTGAGGATGGATATGCTGCACATGTATCTCTCTATTGTCAACTTTGCAAACTTGAATACACATTTGAGTTATTGATTTTACAGTTTTGGACTGGGGGACTCCCTCTTTAATATCGCTTCAGCAACTTTGCGCCGCTGTATTTTACCTGGAGATATTGAGTTAGTTAAGATGGAAGGAAAATGATCGATGGATGGTACAGAAAGCTTAGTTACCAGTTGCTGTTTTAGGGATTTCGGGGAGAATCCATATCTGCAAAAAAAAAAAAAAAAAAAAAAAAAAAAAAAAAAAGTTATATGTTAGTTAAATGTACGAAGAAAATAGGAACAACCTCGGGCTTTTTCTAAAGCAAGGGGGATGATTGGTGAAATATATCTAAACAGTACCTTCTTCGGAATCTTGAACTTGGCAACCTTTGGAGCAATCCATGATTTCAGGTTGTCTTCCGACATACTTCCTTTTTGTTTCAAGACAACTGCTACCCCTATGTCTTCACCATAGTGGGCGTCTGGAATAGCAAAAGATACTGCTTCCGCCACATTGGGGTTATGCGCAATTATGTTATCAAGCTCAATAGGGCTGATTTTCTCACCCCCCTTATTGATTAGCTCCTTAATACGCCCCGTAATGAAGACATAACCATCCTTGTCTTTCTTTCCCTGGTCGCCTGTGCGGAAGAAGCCAGATTTCGTGAAGGATGAGTCGTTTGCTGCAGGGTTATTGAGGTATCCCTTGGTGACATTCTCTCCACGAACACAGATTTCCCCTTCAGAACCCTGAGGAACTTCATTTCCGTCCTGGTCGAGGATTTTAACCTCCACGCCCTGGCCTATACCTACTGTTCCTGGTTGTCGTTTCCCTGGAGGCAGGGGATTGCTCGTCATCTGGTGCGCTGCTTCTGTCATTGCATAAGCCTCCAGAACTGGGGCATGGAAAGTTTTCTCCAATTCATGAAAAGTTTTGGGGGACAATGGGGAGGAGCAGGAGCGAATGAATCGAATTTTCGGCATAGGATTAGGGAGAGGAGTCTTTAGGAGGATCTGGTGAATAGTAGGTACTGCGGTGTACCAGTTTGCCTTGTACGTAATAAATTCAGACCAGAATGACGAAGCTGAGAATTTTTCGGGAACGATGACAGAGCCTCCCGAGAGCAGGGGTGCAAGGAATGCTGCTAGCAAGCCATGAACATGGAATAGAGGCATCACAAGCAGCGTCCGGTCCTTCTCCGTGAGTTTGTATGTTTCTTTGATATTTTCTGAAGTATTTTTGTTAGAATAGAGATTGAAAATCAAATGGCTTTCAACAATTGAACATACTCATGGTCCTTATAAGATTCCGGTGGGTCAAGGGTACCTAGATATCATGAGCAGAATATTCTAACGGATGATCTTTTGTCAACTTACAGCTTTCGGCCTGCCAGTAGTCCCTGATATAGATATTAGCATTCTTGTACCCTTTACTTACAAATGGACGGTAGAGAAACGTCTTAAACTGCGACATTCAGAGGATATAATTCGATTTGCAGCTGTCCAAATTCCTGACCACTGCTGCTTAAAACTTAGACTTACCAGATGTGTGGAGCACCAAGGCGATGTCATCAGGCTGAGGCTCCTCCCTCTTAACACCACCCTTTGCAGCCAATTTCCCAATCTCCTTCACGTCCAAAACCACCTCCTCTCCATTCCAATAGCATTCAGCGATGGCAGCAGAATATTTTCTAGCAGCACGGACAGCGGATACATCATTTTCCAAAGAGCCCTTAGGGACAAGCGCCAATGCAGAACTCAGGTCATCAATGTAGAATTCGAACTCATCCTGCTTGTATGCTGGATTCAGAGGCGCTGCAATTGCTCTCTGCAATGAGACGGCGAGGAAGGAGACGATGAACTCGTAGGAATTGGTCAGCGCTATAGAAACAGCTGCCCCTGGCAAAATCCCCAGGTTGGCAAGTCTCGCTTGGAATGACAGGACGTCGGAACACAGTCGCTGATATGATATTAATACCGGTGGTTTGCCGGGAACGATAATCGCAGTGGACTTGTTGTCCGGGAATGAATTTGCTAAAGTAGACATCGCCGAAGACGGAATATACCAATTAAGACAGAATCCAAATTCTAAAATCCAATATCATAGTTACTGTAAATCAAAAAAATGGAGCAAGTATCTTGTGAATTGTATAATTAACTTAAAATCAGGTATGAATCATACCAGAGACACATCAAAGATCTTTGATGCTGGTGACTATTTACTATGACTCCGGAACCTAATGTCATGACGAATAAAAGCTTAGCTAACCGATGACGTGCGCGGATAATAAATGTTCCCAATCAACTGCAAACACTTGCAAAGCTGCCAAGTATCCCCCTCCCCGACTTCGCTTGAAATTTCCCTGCGTCTGCGACAGACCGACGACAAAAACAACAACGTTCAAGTTCAAACAAGCAATCTATTTTCGCACCACGGCGTGTAGGTGTCTATGCCTTGTGGATACCCAGCGTGTTTGTTGCCGCTAATCATTTATTGTGCTGGCATTTATGAGCAGCCGTCGAGCCTAATTCTTGCTACTCAGCATGGCTTCCCATCCTCCCCCAGAGGGTGGTTTGATGTCGCTTTACGCCAACTTGCTTGATCCGTCTTCAGATAGTAGTTTCACCCCTGGAACTATTTCGCGTGCTCCAGCTGTGTTTAAGCAAGCCGGAGAAACCGAAGCACAACAAGACGATGCAACTTCAAAGAAGCAGCAGATAAGTTCTGGTAGCCAAATTGCCCTTCCCCGACCATTCATTCTTAATATACCGATTTTATTTGCTCACTCGTTTGTGCTGTTGGCCTTGCTCTATGGAATAATCAGCTTCTCTACGGTTTCAGCCTACCAAAAGGCCTCAGTTGGCTTCCCATAAAGCTAAAGCTAAATCCGGAGTTCCCAAGGCTCCTGTAATTGGATCCGCGACTGGCACATCTCCTGCGGTTGGAACTCTTGCGAAACCTGTTGCAAAGACGACGCTTGCAGATTGGGCTACAACAGCCGACGATGACGATGTGAACGGGTTTTATGACGGAGAAAAACGACAGCGGGGTGGCCGCAAAAAGCGCAAGAAGAATCGAGAGGAAGAAACAAATCTCCAGAATTGGGATGATATTTACGACCCTTCGCGACCAAATACCTATGAAGCATACAGGCACAGTGAGGAAAAAATACGGGAAGTTCGAGAATGGAAGGACCGGCTCTATGCACATCGGATGGCTAGAACAAGCAGTGATACGGATAGTGATGAAGACTATTCGCGATCTCCAAGAAACCGTAAGACTCGGCTAATTCTTTACCATTTGATGGAATTCTGCTTTTCTAACGTTCCTATACAGAACGACGATTTGTACCTCCAGGACTCAACTTTGCTCCTCCTCCAAACCTTAATGAACCTCGCCCTGCACAGCAGGATTCGGAGGGTTCATCAGAACCCGCTCCGGCGCCTTCTGCACCAATCCCAGATGATGCAACTGGGGAAGATGCATATGCTCGACGGCTCCGGCTGAGTCAGAATATGTACCCACCACCAGATACTAACCCGACAAATATGCCTAGTCCTTCTGCGCCCCTGCCGTCATCATATCAACCTACTCCTCCTCCAGTCACTCCGTCTGACCAAGTTTTTTCTTCTGCCACCATATCTAGAGCCCCAGTCCGGTACACGTTACCTCCAGCTCCTGAAGAGATTCCTGCAACGGAAGCGGAGCTGGAGGCGACTTTTGCAGAAGAGGAAGATAGTAAACAAGAAGTAGATGGAGAAGCGCCCCGATCCCTTCGACCCGGCCAGAAAGGATTTGCGGAGAGGCTGCTCACAAAGTATGGTTGGACCAAGGGGTCCGGTTTGGGCGCCAGTGGGGAAGGAATAGTCAAACCCTTGCAGGTCAAGCTAGAAAAACAAAAGAAAAAACCGGATTCTGAGGGCGGAGGCTTTGCAACCCCCGCTGGAAGAGCTAAGATTATCGGTGGAAAACAGAAGGCATCAGATGATGGCAAATTTGGGCGAATGAGTGAAGTGGTAGTGCTTCACGGCATGGTTGACGGAATGGATCTGGATGCAGAGCTTGAGGGTGGTGAAGGTGGAGGTTTGATGCAAGAGATTGGAGACGAGTGTGCTGAAAAGGTATTTGGGGCTATACTCCCTGAGAAAACGAGATCTCGGCTTTTGTTGATGTTGTTGCTAACATATATGCTATGTAATAGTATGGAAGAGTGGAACGAGTCTTCATCGATCGCAACGCCACGGGGACAATTCCCGTATTTGTAAAGTTTACGAGTCAGCTTTCCGCATTGCGAGTAAGTTACTAGCCCCGAAGTGATTGGATTTTCAATTATGGTCCCTAATTAAAGAATGATAGGCGGTCAATGCACTTGAAGGGCGGATTTTCAACGGAAATACCATAACGGCACGGTTTTTCGATGTCGAAAGGTTTGAACAGGGCATATACGAATAGGTGATATGGGCTCCTCGTATTTCTTGCTCTCTTCCTCCTTGTCTCTCTTTTGCATGATTTGGGTGAAGAACACATCCCCACCCCTTGTATCATTTCAAGTGGGCACTCTATAAAGCCTATCTTACATATAAGTCTTGTTCCACGCTGGATTTACACGCCATAAATTTAACTATTGTTTTCAAAACGTGTAAATTAGATATATACCCACCAGTCTATATTAAACTCGTGTCCCTTGTCAGATACCACCACTCCACTTCCTCAGATCTAGCAATTCCCAATCACTCTCAATCCCTCCTCAACCGGCCACCTCCACGCAAAAGCCATCTCCCTCTATCTCCGCCATTACCCCCTCCTCGTTCCTATTTGCACCTCTCGTTCTCCACCTCAACCCTCCTTTCCACACCTCTAAATGTCTCACCCCTCAAATCCCTACAGCGCGCACACATCCCATACATCGGAATGCGCACTTCCTCAACCTTTGCGCACGCGGTTCCTGAGCGCATCGCTGCGTCGCAGGGCAAGTCGTTATTCTGAATGCCGTTGGTGTTAGAAGAGTCGGAAGTTCCATGGCCGCAGAGAACATGGCACCAGTGGATTTTATGGCACATAGCGGCGCGGGTTGTGGTTTATTTTTATTTTATTTTATTTTATTTTATTTTTTTTAATTTTACGAATCGATTTTATGGGGTGTTGACTTTGTTCGATTTGGGAGGGGGGTTTAGGATGATGTGGCAAAAGGATGTTGGGGAGCTTCTCGAGGGGTTATGTGTATGCTCGATGGATGTTGAGTGGGTGAAACAGGCAACAACAATTGTCTAGCTTGCGATGGAGAGGGTATCTTCGCATTCTAACCCTTTGATATGTCCTTTTGATCAACGGTTCGATTTTCGTGATTCTTAAAAGAAGAGCTAGCTGATGCTTAAAGAAGAGGTAGATAATGTGGGAAAGGCATGGAACATAGAGTTGGTAGGTATGCATATGTATATATGTGCTAAGTTCTCCAGAATATTCAAAATCTCGGCCCGTCTTCCTCCATATTACATGTTGAAGGGAATACACAAATAGCACAGAGGCCATCTTGCTTGTGTATCGTGGACACGAACATCTCCCAGATAACTCTATTTCATTACACTGCCCCTGACCTAGATGGAACCTGTGCAACCATAACAGCAGCAACAAGCGGCCATTGTCTGACAAGAGGTGGAAAACTAAAGTCATCCCGAAAGTAATCTCTATGCTTGCAGAATGCCTTTTGAAACAACCTACCGCAAAGATATTCCCGTACTTCCTCTTTTGAGGTAAACACGAACCAGAGCATACGTCACCGTACTTCGTCTGCAGAGCAGAGAGCAAGATGGTGAGTGATACAATATCTGGAAGAGCGATAATGCCCTTGATATTCCTACAGTCCCTTCAAAGCCACCAACTACGTGCAATTGAGACGCGTCAGTCTGTGATCTTCACCTCTGCTTTGCAGTAGCCAACATGGACTGGCAGGTCTACAGGGTCGTAGAATGCGTTGATCGTTCCATACCCCATGCGTACCATGTTGACCACTTGTTTCCTCGAGAGAGCGTGTAAGTTTTGGGGCTGGCTGATTTGAACATCTAGAGCTATACAAAACACAGGAGAGGCCGGAATATACAGGCGGCACGAAACAATAAACAGCCTCCAGTTTATCATCAAGTAAACATTGAACCAATTTCGAACAAAAAAGCTGAATATAATCACCGTGTAAAGTATTGCATATACTCACATATCCCCATATGTATAGGGAGGAGATAACTATTAGCTCCTTTTCTCTTCACAACTACAGAATATAAGTCAGGGTACCAAGAAAATGAAAACTGCCCCAGGTATAGGAAGAGCGAAATAAAATGATTACATAGATAGGTACCTCGACTTTTCCCCAGTATCTCCTCTGCTCTTTTTGAAGGCAGGATAAAAGCTCAAGAAGGGGAAAACCGGACAGAAAGGCATCAATTACACACATGTTCCATTTCCAAAAGAAAGCCAAGAGAGAGACAGGAAGCAAAAAGGGAGGGAGGAATAGGAGAAGTATTTTAGAGAGACGTATGGATAAAGAGTACGAAGGATATGCGGAATTTTAGGTGCGGAAGTATTGTAGCGAAAATTTAAGTTACTTAGACAAGTCTATAAAAAACAAGCATGGAATCACAACAAATAAGTACAAGAAAAAGAAAAAACAACCTACACTTCTTTTCCACGAGTAACATAAGAAAGCTAGGCAAAAGTGAGGGAGGAAGGGAAGAAAAAATTGAAAATTTTCACACTGATGCAACATTAGGCACAATATAATGTGCTGACCACACATTACCAGCCACACTTCAATAATGACAACGGGAAAAAAAAAAGAAAGAAAAAAAAAAGTTGAAGTCCCCGTTTCCCCATAGCGCCGGATGAGTATAATAAAGGGAAATAAAAGAGAAAACAGAAAAAGTGATAAAAAACAGATAATGCAGATCACAGCTCAAAACAAAACAAAAACAAAACAAAACAAAACAAAGATAGAATGGGGGGTCAGAAGCAAAGGCAGAAGATAAGAGTAAAAGTGCTAAGTCAGGAAATAATGGAATACCAGTTATGGTAGTATTTTTCTCCATGAAATCGCAAGAGCAGTGGGCAGAAGAGAAGAGGTAGACAAAAATAATAAACATGTATTACACAAGGGAGAGGGTCATTAAGTTATAAATATTTATATTTTCCCGTCCTGTGCTGGCAACTAAATACCACGCCAAGGTGCATATAGCATTGCATATGCTGGTGGTGGGTTGAAAACCTTTCCGTAATTGAGGGTTCGTCCCCTTTCTGGAGGGTGTGGGTTAAGTAAGGGAGTAGGGGGTGAAATACCAAATATGTGACAAGAAAAAGTTTGCTGGTGTATGCACGTCTGGTAAAGGGATCGTATGTCGAAAGACGACCATGTAGGGGCCCCGGGCCACACATTGGCTGTCGCAATACCGGATCATTCCCTTAATAAGCTGGTCGGTTGCCCAGGTTTCCTGCCTTTTCCTTGGTATCGATGTGCCAAACGACATAATTGGGCAAACCGACGACTTGATAGCCTGCTCGTTTGGCCATTTTGGCAAATCCTTCTGTCTCGGCCTGGTTTTCGAAGGCATAGCATGGGAAGTTGATACCTGAATTTCAAGAGTCAGCATTTTGAATATGCCAGATGGAAGAGAACGAACGGGTGGGGGTATATCGTAGAAGAAAAATTGAAAAGAAAGAAACGTTTACCTGCTCGATGCACATCAGCCTTCACAATTATATTGACGCCTCCAATACCGTCTAACTCGACCTCCTGGTCCTTGTTGTTTCTCCAGTCACCCATTGAGACGAGGTATTCGCGGCCAGTGTCATATTCCTTGTAGCCTTCTGCCAAAATAGTGTCTTTATCAAGACTAGCCGCCAACTTCAAGCCTTTCTCACTTTCTCGCCACGAATTGTAGTCGACTAGAATCTCATATTAGCAAAACAGCACAATCAACACCCCGGTCTCAGGGATCCAATGCGTACATTTTCCTTCGATATCCCTTCCATTCTCGTAGCGATGAAACCAGATATCTATATATAACCCTGTTAGTTGGATTCTATAATAACGGCTTCAAGTGAAAGAAAGAAAAAAAAACAATGACGTACTTGGCACAAGAATATCCTTATCATGCGCAACGAAATCTTCAATGATTCTCTTGGGGCTATCAACGATGTCAACGTCGCGCCAGTAGACCCACGAATGTTCCGGTTTTAACGCCGCACTAAGCAGAAAATTCCGGGCTTTCGCAATCGCTTTTCGTCGTGGCCCTTGCGCCGCGAAACCATGTTTTGAGTTGACCTCCATGCTAACTGTTGCTCCAAAATTCTTCTGAACAATCAAAGCACTGCGGAAGGCCGTCTTTTCAGACTTCTGTATCCGGTCAAGCTCCGCCGATAGAACAGCCAGAGTGTCATCAGCTGAGTCGCCGACCAAAAAGGCGATATCGATCAGGTGATGGGGATAGGTCAATTCGCTGACAAGATCGAAGTACTTATTAAGATACGGAGAGGCATCTCGGAGAGGAGTAACAATAAGGACACGTTCGCCATTCAAGACAGCCTTGGGAGTGCTTGTGACAGTGTTCAAGTCGACAGTTTGGATAGTAGAGGAGTTGAGCTGATAGGGCTCGTGATGGTTAAATAATACTGGCGTTTGGAGATGTGCGTTCCAATCGACCAGTTCATTTGCAGACATTTCTACGGGGGACTTTGAAGGTCCAAAGCAATAGAAACTAAACGAGGAGAGATCACAGATTCCATTAGCATTTTCCATCTTAACCAAAGTAGAGATCATTGCCAGCGAGATATTCACAGAAGTGTGAAGGTCAAAAAATTTTAAGATCCCCACAGGGCAGACAAAGCATACCTCTGCATTTCCGCCGCAGAACTGCTGAGGCCCTTCCATAGCAGCAGCACCAGACCCGTGAGGACAACAGAGATGAGAAATCGTGGCCGGGAGATGACAGAGACAAGAAACCTGACAGGAGGCATTCTGGCCTTGGCCGATTTCCATGTAACACCACCTTTGGGGAGCAACATATCGAGATGGACCTGTGCTCACTGGAGGGAATCTACCATAGAACGGATGACAGTGCGCAGAGGAAGATGGCTGGGGGAGGTGGGGGGAGAGGATTAAAAGGACGCAGCGAGAAGAGGTTGGACCAGTTTCGATTATGTTATCAACGATAAGCTTTCGTCTGCGAAACCCGGATCTTTCGATGCCTCACTCAGCTTTGTCGTCGCCAGCTCGCCAGCTGCGGATGCCCTGGCCTTTCCGTGATTGCGAAGAATGGACAGATGTTATATCGTGGCTATTATTTCTTATCTCTCCTTTCGCCTGGAGTTTGGCAAAAGTCAAGGAGGACGCGAGGTTACGATTAGAGTTGCGGACCAGATTTGTTCGAAGTCGAAGGGGAGATGAGTTGGGAGTATTGAGCGGGAGAATGGGGATCAATTGTCGGGATCCCACTGGGAACAGGTAAAAGGGTTCTAAGGCCGCCAAAACGAGTGAGCGCCAGCCGGAGAGGAGAGGAGAGGAGAGGAGAGGAGGACGAAAGGAAGAAAACGGAGTCGAGGGACGTTGGTTGGATGTTAAAGGGGAATCTGCGTGGAAGGCATTACGAAGCTGCATTCACGTGATTCGGTAAGGCCCCTGCTTGCGGCGAGAGGAAGACGAGCTGTGATTGGCTGTTGTCAGTGGAGTGCTGAGTCAGCTAATATAAAACTGGCGTCTTCAATAGGGGAGATATAAAAACCTTGGAAAGGGAGCTTCCAACTGGGCAACCGTAACAGCTGTTAACTGTCTTAGATAACTGGTGAAGTTCCTTAGTGAGTTTAGTTTAGTTTGCTTATATTAGACGATCAATGACCTAAGTCAAAGTCAAGGCCGGCTGTGGGACCAGGCTGTGGGACCAAAAGGCCCGGGGGGTCCAAGTTTGCTTTTATATAACTCCATACCGCAACTGGAAAGTTGTTTGTCTACCCACAAGGCAAAGCTCAAACTGGCTTCTTTAAGATGAAAGCCTCTCAGTTTGAGCTCGATGGTCTTGTGGCTATGCCAGGCTCCCCGCTTCCCCTCTTCAATATACGTAACTTAATATTCCCCAGGCGAAAAGGTTTTGCAGCTTCAGCCGGTTGGTTCCACTCGTCTGCAGATTGATACCAGCTAGACCAGCAAATATTGCTTTCATTCCCCTGGAAGATTCTGCGGAAGCCGGATATGTACGTCATATTAGACTTCGGGAACCTTTACTCCCGAAGAACGGTGTAATGCTCATGTATAGCATCCGCCAAACAATGCGGCTGCGCAGCATTGATATAACTAACCGCCAAATACTCTCTACATTGTTTTATTTTCTTGAACTCTTGGCCCACATGGCCCAACAGGGCTAGATAAATCTAATCATATAAACCCCATCTCTCAGGGATTGACACAGATGAAAGTCTCCTGGTCTAACTCCTGACCACAGTAGGTCGAACAGGCGCCCTTGGTGGCCCATCGAGGACGACTCAAGAAGATGAACGGGAACCACCCGGCTATTCCCAACATTTCTTGTAGCGACATTTGGATATCCGATAACCAGTTCCTCATAAATGGTAAATACATACGAATTTCATATGCTCATGGAGGAAGAAACCGATAAGAAGCATATATTTTTCTGCCTCCCGTCTCGTCCCGTACCCACCTGGGTCTGAGATCCACTGGAGTTGTACGCATAGTTATTCTGGCTCCAACTCCACACTCGCCTGAACCCCTAAATATATGATATCTCCTCAAAGCCTTGGAAATGGATAGAAATTCTCTCTGGTAAACGCAAATAATTCATTCAATCCGATGTCCACTGGCATATCTCTCAAATCACCCCCATACATGTGTATCTTCTCAATTGACATCAACACCTGATCCCCAAACCGGGTCCATGACATTGGTTTGACAGAATTAATTCCCCAGGAGATATTCAACAAGGAATAGCAAATAGTAAGAAAGATATTACTCAGCAAGGGAAGAGGGGAATAGTTAAACGTGTGGAGAGAAAGAGGGAAATAAAGAGAGGGAGACAGACAGGCTGACTACCCTCCGCCCCTCTCAAAAGCTCCATTCTTCCGAGCTGTTTATTTTTCATCCCCGCCCATAACCTCACTCCCAACACCCTGCCCCCCCCCAAACACTTGTTCTTCCACCATCAAGAAAGACGAGAAGATAAAAGATCATGTTACGAAGTAGAGACCGATTTCTTGTTCAATAATACACAGCAGGCCATGATATCAAAAAAAAAAAAAAAAAAAAAAAAAAAGAAAGAAAGAAAAAAGAAAAGATAAGAAAAGAAAGAAAAGAAAAGAGAAAAAAAGAAAAAACGATCATCTTACTGACCGTACCCTCTTCCCCGTCTCTATCTCCATTCCCGTCCCCTTCCACATTTAGCAAAAGTACCAGACTTCTGAGAAACAATAGATTTCCCCATCCCATCCCATAATCTTAACAAATTACAACTACAGCAGAGAAGTAGAGGGAACTAAGGCCTTTATAAACAGGGCAACATTGCTGTCACTGATGATGATGATGATGATGTCATCCACTGTCTATTTCCCTTTTATCTCCAACTCACAAATCCTTTCTCAGTCACACAGCACACACTATATCCCACCACTATCACTATCATACTCCTGCTCTATAATTCATTCTCAACATCTCACTCCCTATTCCTTTACCCCATCCCTCCAGAACAAGATTATGAACAAGATTATGAACACGGAAGAGGGAAAACTATATATCCCACTCTCAAAGATAACAAAGCGAGGTAAGTGTTCAGGCAAAAGAGAAAAGAGTTTATTAAAAGGGAGAGAGGTTTAATATTACCATAAAAATGTATCTGCCATTGGAAAAGTTGTCAAAAAAGACACACATCGGACCCATTAAGGAATTCACAGGGAAATCAAAGAAAAGAAAAGAAAAGAGAAGGATAATTTAAAATGAAAGAAAAACGCCATTTGTTGTGCAAAGCTACTAGTTATACCAATCCTACCCGACCACAATTCGATCTACAGAGCAAATCCAAGCACACAACCAACCAACGCAAGCAAAGTCATGATGGCAGGAGGCGACAGGGGTCCCATAGCAGCGCCGCTTGGCTTAGGCTTGCCAGGTCCAGAGTTAGTGCCCGTTCCGGTCTGTGGGTTGGATTCCTCAGCTTTGCAAACCCACTCGCCAGCCTTGCGAACCTCACCCTTGAGCTTGTTGCAGTCGAATTTCTCGGTGGTCTGGAGGTTGAATTCGCCGCGGACTTCATCAAGGCTAGGGAGCTCGACTCTGTAAGGAAGGAAATGGTGTTAGTAGTAGTTCGAGCGCATAAGTCAGGAAAAAGGTGGGGAAGGAAGTGGCACTCACTTGGAGATTTTGCCTGTGATATCGAAGGCACCGTAGACGGTCTTCAGCTTGGGAACGCCATCGACGGCATGGAGTTCGGTGTTGTTTGCGATCTGGAAAGCACCTCGGACGGTCTCGAGGAGTGGAAGTGAAATGTTCTTCAGGCCTGAGTTATCAGCGAAGACGAGATCTCCAGTGCTGGTCAAGTTAGGGGCCTGGAGTCCCTCGAAATAGTTGGAGTAAAAACCAAGGAGACCTTGGGTGCTCCGGAGGGAGGGAATTTCGATGGAGGAGACGTTGCGGAATGTCATGTTCAAGGCACGCTCGAGTTTGGGGAAAGAGATCTTGAGGTCCACGTGGTTGGCAGAGAAGCTAGCATAGCCGGTGATGTTGGTGATCATTGCAACATCAGCTTCCTTCAGATGGGGGTTGTTGCTGATTTCCATGTCTCCAACTGTTTCCAACATGATACCCTTCAGGGTAACCAGGTCTGTGTTGGAGATTCGGACGTTCTTGGCCTTGGAAACACCCTTGCCGAACGCGAGCTGCTGCAGGTTGGGGAGGGCTTCGAAATCAAGAGCACCGGCCTCGGTAAGAGACTCAAACTCGAGAGTTCTCAGCTCAATGCATCCGCTAAGCTGGAAGGTGTCGCCAATACTTTCGAGCTGGGATGCGCTCAGGGCGGTCAAATTCTGGGAGCCTTTGGCGATCAGGCTGCCGGTGATTTCCCGAATGCCATCAAGGCTGATGCTGCCCTTGGGAACTTGGGCAGCGATCTCAATGTCCCCATCGACTTTGCTGCAGGAGGAGAGAGCAGAGGCATCTCCTTGGTTTTGAATGACCTTGTTGCCCTTGCAAGCTAGAGTCACGCACACAGCGAGTTAGGTGGATGTAGAGAGTTATATATTTCGAGAGCCAATTGAACCCCCCATTGAGATCGCGGCGGCCAGGAGTATATCGAGCGAGTTACATCGGGGACGCTGGAAATGGAGAAGACGAAAAAAAACAACTCACAGCTTTGCCCAGCTACCAGGCCAGCCACAGCGAGAGCGGGGATGAGATACTTTATAAACGCCATTTGATCTCGTTCGTTATAAAAGAAAAAGGGCGGTGTTAATGGCTAGAAAATGGTTGGTATAGGAGATGTAGAGGAGGACTGTTATCTAAAGAGATTACGTATAAAGGTAGGACAGTCAGTAAGCCGCAAGGGGAACCGAAGAGTGTACGGGATGTTTTTTCTTTGGGGGGATTGACAATGAGACGGAGGGGGGATTTATTTTAGGGAGTGTTTGTGTTGCGTTTCAAGAGAGATTGGACGTGCCGATGACAGCTGGGGTTGGTTGGTTGAATTTTGGGTTGGAGGGGGGATGATTGTGTTTTTATATATATATATATATATATATATATATATATATATTATTTCTTGTTTGCTGGTTGGCATGACAGGAAGCCAGTCAGACACTGTCGACAACACATGAAAACACACACACAACACAGGTGGACACACAGCACACAAACACACAGCAGGGCAACGGGTGACACAAGTGACAAGGCAAAGATAGAAGGATGCCCAGAAGGGGGGCCAGAAGGAGGCCCAGAAGGGGGGGGGTTTACTATTAAACTAATCGCTGATTGATGAATTGAGTGATGATGGTGACGACGGCGTTGGATGGAGTTGGATGAAGTTGATGTTGACGAGGGTATGGATCGGAGTAAAAAGGGAACAGTGAAGGAAGGACGAGAGAAAAGGGAATGAAAGAGCACCTTTAGGGAGAGAGAGTCAGCCTCAAGATTGACCCGAGGGAGAAGGTGCGATTGACGGAGGACGAAGCAAGAACAATACCTAAGCAGGAAGGAAGCAGGAAGGGGCTAACCCTTGGAAGTTCCTTGAATGAGCGAAGAAGAAGGAGAAGAAGGAGGAAGAAGGAGAGGAAGGAGAAAGAAGGAAGCGATAGAAGCGATAGAAGAAAGTTGGCAGTCTGAACAAAACAAAAGAAATGAGGAGAGAGTGGGAGAGAGTTGACTGGAAGTTGTGCGAAAGACTACGACTAACACTACATTACACTACGCTAGGTACCGGTCCTGAGAAACAGGAGACAATCCTTGAACAGTTGACCGTCAGGCACAATTACGATGATTTTTAGTTATGTATTTGCCTCTTTTTTAGCCTTTCGGGGGGGGCATCATCCCTTGGAGCAAAATCTCGGGATACATAAAAAGGTTGGAGGAAACCTTGGGGCAAGCGCCAAGATAGACACGGGGTACCGTATCCAGGTATGATGCTATACCGTTCCTGGTTTAGTGCGGTATCTTACACCCGTTCGCGGCCAAATTACCCGGGAATCCCCAGACGGGGGCCCCTGGAGCCTTTTGGATAGAGAGTTTGGGTCGCCTTGGTAAGTTTTTTACTCCCCGAGATGCGTTGTTGTTTTTGTGTACTTTGTAGTTAGCACATACATCCACAGCATATTCAGCATGCGTATTCAGCAGCTATTATGAAATACACCACGCAGTAGTCAACTAGCGAGTTAACTGGTTACGGCTCATTTAGCATGTTGCAGTGGAACAAGGCAGGGGGCTTTGCTGCAAAGACAGAGCAGTTCATTCCTGGATACTTCCCCTGCATACTCTATCTACATACTATTACGACTCGGATTTGCAACGCAGCAAATTAGTCAGTGAGCCTGTGCTTGACTTGATCCCCCAGAAAGGCACACCCACCACAGAGTTACAAATATAATCCGTATGGAACAATTTCCATTACTTGTTGTCTGCCGCCGCAGTTAGTGCTTCTTTCAGTGGCAAGTTCTTCTCCTCCAGCTACCCGCGGCGTGGCGTTTTAGCCATCTCTTCTCCTCTTCATTCCTCACCCATGCCGCTTTCTGAGACAGTTTGGGCCCACCCGGCCTTGCGTTCTCTGACAGAACAACAGCCCATGCCCGCCCATCATTATGTTAATTTACTATTACCCCATGCAACCCAACCTGTTCATGACATGGCGCTGCTTACAATCTTCCTTCAGGGGGAACATTCCTCAACACAATCTCTTTTATTATTATATTATTGGTTCCATCCTCTCTTCAACTGTCCTTCCCAAGTTCCGCTCTTTTCCTTGCTAACCACCCGAACTGGACTGGACTGGATGTCCGAATGAGATTGACGTCGATTATCACCTCACCTACGTATGCAAGAAAATTTTTGGCTATCTCGCTGGTCCAATGAGGATCCAGCCTCGGTTCGGGGGCTTTGCAGTGTGGATAAAATAATCGGAATTGCTCAATAATTCGATGTTTGTCCCCCAGAGAGGTGACAGTTGGACGTGGATTTAAAAAGAGCTTGTAATGGGTTTAAAAAGTTGGGCCCACTTTTTTAAAACCAGTTAAGTTATGCTCTGCATAGTTTAACCCAGGCTCTGGTCACCTATGAATAACTACATCTCTCTCTATCTCTTCAACCCCACCGCCTTCAGCATTAGGGGTAGGTCAGGGTTAGGGCTGGAGGAATATGATAAATCACCACCATTAAAAAGCATGTACTGCATAGAGATATGTGAGATATGTGTGAGTATGACTAGTGCATGTAGTTTTAATGGGGGTGTCAAGGTGTAAAGGTTTAAACCCTGCTGAAGGCTTTCCATTCAACTCTGCCTGTTCTTTAACCCTCAAGAACTCTGGGCAGGATTTCTAACACTTTTCCGCTTGAATATGAGAAGAAGATTGGGCATATTAAGCTTCACCCGCCGCTCTCAGAGAGTGACGAAGATACCGCCAACAAGGTGTGAAGGATGAACAATGACATTGTTAAAGAGAAACAAATTGGAAATGCAATCACATAGTTAGCTCTCAACGGTGCACTGTTACCCATCAATGGATTTGACGCAATGCCCGGTTTGACTATCATCTCGTAGTTCTCCCAGAAAAACAATCTTCCAAGGATGAAGATTTATATTTTTACCTTTTAATTAAGTTGTGCAGCCATGACAGTGATAGATCAATATCATATCCGGGCGTATAAACTGCCGTGCTGCTGGAGCTGTCAGTGCCTTATCCGAAGACAGATCCTGGGAATATACCGCAGCTCGAGCAAGAATTTTCTTTCTTATTTATTTTTTATTTTATTTTATTTCATGTTTATATATATAAATTTTATTTTTCGGTGGGAGGTCCGGAACTTTCTTCACAAATACATAATATCTTGGACTGGCCGACTTTCAGCCACTGACAAGTCAAGTTTTTCAGCATGGAATACTGAGCTCCGTAGACTTGGAGAGATGAATGACGATAACCTGAAGAGTTGAAACAGGTTTTTGAGCATAGCACATGTACCACCGTCGGGAATAAACAAGAGACGATCCAGGTGATCGTCAGCAGATCGAAATAAAAGTTAACCCTGCTTAGGCCCTGAGCGGCTGGTCCCTGGGCATAATAATAATGGGCTGGTGCCAGTGGCTGATATCAGAATTGTTTCATTGTTGACCGTTGGCCAGAAGATGTTCTCTTGATGTGCTAGTTATCCTCCCTCAATCTTTTTAAGCCTTTGATTATAACCCTGGATGTAACTATGAAATCATGACGAGATTATTTGATTTAAAGCTTATCTAGATATCTTCTTTCTTCTACATCTTCATCGGTAATTACATATGAAGAACAAAAACAACACTAGCTATATTATTACCCGAAAGTATAGCATATTGAGTACTATTCTGAAAAAATACATTCCGAACATCTTCCATTGAAGCTTGAAACCACGGAATCCCGCTAGGTGCGAGTAGCTTCGTACCAACCAACCAACCACCTCAAATCCCCTTTATCCCAGTCGTTGTACGGAAGTACCCCGTATTCATTCAAACGCGCCCAGCTCTGGAACTGACTCACTCGATGTCCATATCCGGGGCAACGCGACGAGCTTGCAGATATCATCACAAACAAATCTTGTAAAGAACACAGGGTGTCATGCTAATTTATATACTCGGACGGCCTGCGAGAAAATAGCTGTTTATATCTCAACATTTTATATCCAACTGGCGTCTGGTCTGCGACGAATTGAACCGGTTAAACAAGTACCGCGACTGCTTGTTCAAATCAAATATATCTGACAATATTATTTTACATGATCTTCTTCCATCCATCCTGGCCAGAACAGCACGGTCGGTTCTTTTCATTGAATTCAAACCCTGGACTCTGATTCACATGGCCCCGAGACGATCGGCCCGGGTAAGCGCTATAACGCAGCAGGCTGCGTTGGAAAAGAACAACGTACTGAAACAACAGCCTCCGAAGAAGGAGAAGAAGACTTCTCAGAACAATGGCGTTACAAAGAATAAATCTACAAAAGCTACCCCAACACAAACTGGCGGGAAGGGGAGGAAAGTATCTACTTCAAAAGCCACAGCCGCAGTTTTAGTCCCATCGACAGCAGACAGTGAAGCCTTCAAAATCCCCGACATCCCACCCGTCTCAACCCCCAAACGTGCACGACCAAACAGCACAAACACAGGAATAGACGCAGGGAACCCCAACCACCCAGCCCCGCCCCTCGACCGCCCCATAGACCCACACCTCACCAACGCAATCCTCCGCACCCCGCGCGGAAGCCATCTAACCGCCTACCCAGTAGAGAAGCCTTCAGATGCAGCCACCCTATCCCCATCTAAATGCAGCGGCCGCCTCCCCCGCCCAACAACGACCACAGGCACCGTCCTCGAAGAAGCAGTTGCACATCTGATAACCGTAGCACCGCAACTGAAGCCCGTTATCGATAAGCATCCGTGTCCGCTGTTTTCCCCCGCGGGACTGGCGGAGGAGATTGACCCGTTCAACGCGCTTGTCAGCGGCATTATTGGGCAGCAGGTGTCCGGGGCGGCGGCGAAGAGCATTAAGAGGAGGTTTTTGGGCTTGTTTGGGTGTCTTGATTGTAATGGTAATGCCGAAGCAAGTAATAACGGCGTGAACGCCACCGAGAAAGGCGTCGGAGAGGAGAAAGAGAGGGCGGAAATGCGCTATGACCGCGACGACCACTTCCCGACCCCCGCACAGGTAGCTGCATGCGGTGTCGCAACGTTGCGCACAGCGGGTCTCTCGCAGCGCAAGGCGGAGTATATCCAGGGGTTGGCGGAAAAGTTTGCCAGCGGCGAGCTGAGTGCGCACATGCTGCTGCAGGCGAGCGATGAGGAGGTGCTGGAGAAGCTGATCGCGGTGCGAGGACTGGGGCGGTGGTCTGTGGAGATGTTTGAGTGCTTTGGGCTGAAGAGGATGGATGTGTTTTCCACGGGGGATTTGGGGGTTCAGTGAGTTTTCGATGCTTCCTTTGTCCCTTTTTCTTCTCCTTCTTCTTCTTCTTCTTTTTTTCCGCTTTCATTCCATATATCAGTCCCTCCGCGTTTTAACTCCCTTTTACTTCTGCAGAAGAGGAATGGCCACTTTCGTCGGCCGCGATGTCAGTAAACTTAAAACCAAAGGCAGTGGGAAATTCAAGTACATGTCCGAGAAGGAAATGCTAGAGATTGCGGCGCCATTTTCTCCGTATCGGTGAGTGCTCTACAACTCCTCCTTTTTCCCGCCTAGCCCTCAATCCCTTGGGGGAGGGGGTTGGGTGATTGGACTGATTGGTTCATGTGGCTGAACTTCTGCTATTTATTTGCAATTAGGAGTCTGTTGATGTGGTATATGTGGCGAATTGAGAATGTGGATATTTCGATCATGCAGTGAAGTTGGAGGGGTAGGTCGAGCTGAAGGATTGAACGGGATATAGGGGATGAATAGTTTGCATTGCGTTTTGTATTTGGATATATTGCTTTGGCGATGCTGTGTCCCATGCTGTTATTATTAACCATCTTACCAATATAATTGAATATATTCTTCATATAGATACATACCCGAGAGGCATATCGCTCACCACGCCATCTTGTCGACTTACGCGACTCCCTCCTTGCTTAAATGCTTGGACGATATCAAAAGAAAATATATCCCATTCCATCTATGTAGTATAGAGTATATTACCTGTACAGAACAGCAGTAGAAGTTATTCCTGAAACATGCAACCCCTAATCAGACAGCCACAGCAACAGCAGCGACCAATTGCCATTCGCAAATCACCCAGGTAGTTGATTTCCGAGTCTAAAATTTAAAAAGCGGTGATATGGAGAGGAGCTATTTCAAATTTCGTACATTCTTGTCTCTCAGCCAGCAATTTCAAAATTCCAGCGACATCACACACCTCCAACTCCTTTCATCAACATATATACATTTTATCGCTTGATGACAAGGTTATCAAGCTCATCCCGTTCCTTGTTCTCACGTTCGATCTCTCGGATAATGGGGCTGAGATATTCGACGTCCTGAAATTTTGACAAAATAGCTCTATTAGTTTCCATTGTTTTTGGGATAGTGGACCGTTTTTGAAAAGGAAGAGGGAAGAGTGGGTGCAAGTTGCGGAAATCAATGGAAATATTTTTTTTATTTTTATCAACCAATAAGGAATCGTTTGATTCAGATTAGGCAAGGAGGGAGAAGTTATTTTGGGTGGGAGGGATTATTAGGCTCACCTCTTCTGGCTTGGTTTGCTGTTCGATAGGGAGGAGCTGATGTTCGATTGAGCACTGTTTGGGTATATATGTAAGCGAAATCGATATCTCCTTCCCCTCTCCATTGATTTTTATCCATTGACAACAAGACAGAAGTGATTGAAAAGAAGGCTAGACAAAACTGACCTGGAATGCGCGTCGGATGCGAAAGACACGGTCATAAGCTTCCTTGGGAGGAAGCCTTCGAATTGCCAGCTGGACGGTATCGTTCTCTTCAGGGATCAGGTCATCGGCTCTGTATGGATGCAATTGAGAGGTGTGTCATTTGTCAGCACTTTCATCGCGGTCGATCAATCAAGTGTCCATCTTCATCACAAATATATCGACAAAATGACATTCCCCCCCCCCTCCACAAAGATTCCCGTGTTGACTCCCTCATCCCACTCTATCTGTGCATACACAGCATCAGGTATAATTACCTCAGTCCTAGTTGTCTGTATCCAGAAGCATTGGCATGCCAGTTGGCGAGTGGCATCAGCAATCGCTTGAGCCATGGCCGTACGTTGATATAATTGATGAGGGAGGGCGCAGACATGGTGTAGAGGGTGGAATCAGCAGTCGAAAGGTGCAGTTGGGGAATCTGAACGGCGCAATTTTGGCGGCGGCACAGACAGTGTAGTAAAAGGTATATACTCCGTCCTGTTTGTCTGCGTGGGGGATGCGATGGGATGAGGTTGTGGAAAATCCAGGCTCGGACCACTCTCGGCGAGACTGACCGCCTTTGGATTTGCCGAGTGTCTCGTGACCGAGCAACTTCCGTCCCTCCTCACTACAACAACCAATACAACTGCTATACATCGGCTTAAACTCCACCTCCTTCACATATGTGTTGGTTTCCACTCATTACAGCTGTCGCCAATTCTGGCTGCTATTTCCTCCTCAATCTCTTGCCGCTGGGCTCCCCGTCTCTCTCTCTCGGTGTGTTCCTCTCAACTGTGGCATGTGTATGGTCGACCGATCGCTGAGTTGCGCCGCTCCTGCACGGAGCCGTGAGGGTAGCGAACCCCGCAGGCGCTGCAGTTAAATAGACTATATTCACGCCAAATTCATATCTACGGGCCCGAAAAGGGAAACTCTTTAGATACCATTCTGCAACCTCATGGTGAGCGCTCTGCGACCCTCTGCAAAAAATAAAATACAATTAATTGTATTACGGGATCCGACGCCGCAACGGCATCGAGACGCGGCGGCCCGGTTTCACCGGCTTATTTCCATGTTGCGACAGTGACTATAAAATTTTTTTTTTTGAGATCCATCTCCCTTCGTTATCCTAAGACATAATGACTCTGGGCCGCACCAATTCGTCAAGGACTGTAGGCGGCTCGACATCGCACCAGGGGATTTCGCCGGACCATCGACAATCAACAACTCCTGGATTACATGTCGGTGCCACTCCACCGCCAGGGTCATCGCTCTTGAAGAGTCTCCAGATCTATTCCACACGGATTCCACAAGCATATATTACGCCGTTTTGTGGGGCTAGTGCCGGTGTCGCGTCAGGAATCGTGACATGCCCCTTGGATGTGATCAAGACAAAATTACAAGCGCAGGGAGGGTTTCAAGTACGGCGGAATGGCAAGTTGGTGGAATCCGGGACCCTATATCGCGGGATGGTAGGAACGGGGAAGATGATATGGCGAGATGAGGGTATTAGAGGGCTGTATAGAGGGCTGGGACCGATGCTTTTGGGATATCTTCCAACGTGGGCCATGTATTTGACGGTTTATGATAGATCTAGGGAATATTTCTCCAAAAGCACAGGTTTGCTCTATCCGTTTCCTCTCTTTCTTCCTCGATTTACTTGCTGGTGCTGATGTGTCGCCCTTATAGACAATTGGTGGTTGGCCCGAGGATACGCATCAATCACAGCAGGAGCGTGTTCGACCATAGCAACAAACCCGATATGGGTGATTAAAACAAGACTCATGTCTCAGAGCTTCCGACCCGCAAGTAATGGATATCGAGCCCCTTGGTACTACAAAAACACTCTGGATGCTGCACGCAAAATGTATGCCAGCGAAGGTATCCGTGCTTTTTACTCTGGCCTCACACCCGCCCTCCTTGGTCTATCACATGTCGCCATCCAGTTCCCACTGTACGAATATTTCAAAATGGCTTTCACCGGATACGGGATTGGTGAACACCCCGACGCCGGAAATCCCCACTGGGCCGGAATCAGTGCCGCCACTTTCCTCAGCAAAATATGCGCAAGCACAGCAACATATCCCCACGAAGTCCTTAGAACCCGACTGCAGACACAACAAAGATCATCCCCTGCCTTTTCAACTGAAGGAATCGCTTTTAGAGGTGGCCTCGAACAACCGCAGGATCATGGCCGGCCACCAGGCACTGGTGCTGGCGCCTCATCCTCGGATGGGATGCCTAACCGACCCCGATATCGCGGTGTGATTCGCACATGCCAAACAATCCTAGCGGAAGAGGGCTGGCGCTCCTTTTATGCTGGAATTGGAACGAATTTGTTCCGTGCTTTGCCATCCGCTATGACTACAATGCTCACATACGAATATCTTCGGAACATTATCCATTGGATGCAACATGAAGGTGAAGTCGCTCTAGCTGCAAGCGAGGACAAGTCATCGGTGTATTGACAACGTGCATTCTGATCGAATTTTCTGGAAGATTTAAATCTATGTTTAAACTTATAAACAGCTCAGGGTCTCTCATAAGGGAGTTTTTAATACAGCACGGAGCAAAATGCTCGAGTGCATCATCTGCCATTGCCGATACCGAGAAATTTATTCTGGACCAGTTACATATGTCTATGCATCGCAGCCAGCCTTGCCATTCTTGCTGTGCTTTACTTATTACCATTCCCCCCTACCGATCTCTCCCTTTTATTATTACCTTTCTGAATGATAAATCTGACAACCCTAACCCTACTTCAATTTACTCTCTACGCTCCCGCCTTTAAAAACCTCATCCACTCCTTCCTACCTACCTCCCGACCTCTTTCATACCTTTTCTATCGTCATTATGTCATATCGACTAATGATTTTGAATGTCCATTTCCGAACGGACAATGGAAACTTAATAAAGACGTGACACATCGGGGCATTTCTCTGGCGTTCTTTTTTATCTCACTACATACACAAAAGCCAAATCTGGAGCGTGGCAAATGTGCTTTGCAAATCTCAGCTCGGCTTGAGTGGATTTTGACTTCATTAAATATCTTTCTTCCTACTTCTCTCTTTTACTCCAATACCTGACCTGTTTTAATCACAACCACGTCTTTCATCAGTTTTTCTTTTTTTTTTTTTCCCAGAGGCTTTTCCCGTGCGCTGGCATGGTATCATTCTGCTTTTTCGATTAACGGTTTTATCTGTTCTTGTTTCTTCTGCTAAAGGATAGTGCTTTTCTGCCCCATGAGCTCTTCCTTCATATTTGTTTGGCTTTCTGAGCTCTTATGATTTGTAACTTGCGTCCTGAATTTTTCCTCCCATTTATTTTTTGCCTGCTAAGTTAGGTTTCTCTTGCTTCAGATATATATACAGATGCACTGTTTTATATAAACATTCCCCACGGACGCTTTTTTTTACAAATACAACCAGTTTAACTGCCTTCACTTTTACATATTCCATGAAAAAGACTCGTGTTCTCTTCCTTGTTTTAAACCAGTGGATTACGCGTTATATCCAATTTGGCGTTTTTCAGTTAGGTCAAAGTGGTGGATGTGGGTGAAACATCTGCTCATTAATGAATACGATGAAGAGGGTTCAGTACGAGCACTAGTATGGACATTCGGCCATATATATGTGGTTAATCATTGTGCAGGGAATCGTCATAATCCTCCGTGGTCATATTGTGTTTTGTCTTCATATTTGGATTCAGGATAAGCCAATCCCATGACCACTAACATATCCCCTTTATCTTATCATTGGCAGGATAGAGCAAGGACCTCTTCCCAAATATCCCCTCAACTCAACCTAAACCGTCACAAAACGTGCCTCCAACACAATTCCTATATAGTAAAGCAGCAAAGATTTCATTTCAGCTACATAGAAAGAAAAAAAAAAGGTGAATAAAAACCATGACCTGCCTTCCAAACACCCATTAAACCAAATACAAACATTCCAAATTAGTATACAGAATCTCACAGAATGGCGAAATAACCAACACCTATCCCCAATCTCCTGCTTCCTGAGCACCTCACCAGCGTCAATTTCTCCTCACATCCCCCGATAAGCCACTCGGGGCTTTTTGGGTTAAGGAGGAATATCTTACGTTGCGACGGGCGCTGCGGATACTGACTATGCAGTATGCCCCCAGGACGAGTGCCATTCCGAATGCGGCCATGGGAACATGTATTGACTATTGACGGCGTGAGCGAGGAAGAACGAGATAGATCTCAGAAACATATATTGATTAAAGGGGGGTAGAGGTGCTTCAAGCTTGAGGGGATGTGATTCTGTGCGGGTTGGAGAAGGGGAGGTTCGAATGGGCTTCTTAAAGATTTCGTAGTATGGACAGATATTTGGGGAAAGGGTGAAAAGGAGCAGGAAAAAGGTGCGGTTTAAAAGAGGCGGCTATCAGCAACGAAGAATATCGGCGTTTCGCAGAGACGAGATCTCTTTCGCGACCCCGTTTCAGTGTTTAACGAGATTAAAAGCTGAGAAACTTACTCTGGGATTGCTTCTGGACAATCTGCTCCCTAGAGACGGTTTCTTATTCGTCATCATGTTCCTCTGCAGGGAGACAATATCCTTCACTGTGAAGCTTGTCAAGGCCAAGGGTCTTCGTCTCCAGATTCTCCGCCGCCTGGAGGTGTATTTGTTGTGGCCTAACTTCCCTGAGCCTACTGCTCAATAAGGCCTCTGAAAGGAACCAAGGGTAAGTATGTGTATAGGTTCATGAGATATTTCTCCGGATATGAAGAAACCATGTACAGAGTCAAATTATATATGGATTTCACGAGTAGCCCTTCAGACTCAGAGACTCAGATACTCAGAGAAGAAAAAAACAATGTGAAATATTTTCAACGTCTACCCCCCAATCAGTCGGAATAAAATGACACCTTTTCTATACAAGGTTGACCTGTAGCCTTGAATTGGAGAATTGCAGTCACGTGTATTTGGAATTCCAAATCATGATCCAGGATCTAACATCTCCGCGGGCTATCTCTGCTTTATCACAATTGTGATTCCAACTTATCCTTCAAGACGCTATGTCTAAAACCTGCCTCGACTAATTCAAATTAATTTCGAGGCCTGATGTGTGGCTAAAGAAATATACACTTCCTATCTATACAAGTTGTCTATAAGTGTTTCTTTCCATAGAACAGCAAATAAAAATAAAAACGGAGAAAGGGATATCCCGCACATATGGCTTAATACAATATCTCCAGAAGAAAAGAAAATACAATGATTCGCTATGCAGGCTTATCATCAAAACACAGAGAGATGGGGATTGGGAACAGGAAGAAGCACTTAGAGCAGGAATCGAGAAACTCAAACCTGATGAGCCAGGGGTCCTTAACCTAGCTCATCGTGGACACATGGATACGTGAGAATCAGTTTATCAAACCCAGCCGGCCCCTGATTGAGAGCCAGTGTTCGTACATCTCTAATTTAAGCTCGACTCTTAAATAGCTTGCCCAGGCCTGAAGGAGCCGGATGAAGTTTCTTGGCCACAAGATGCTGCCATGCTGGCGGATGACCTCCATTTGTTCTTCGAAAACAGTACATGTAGCATATTTTGCGAGGATAAGGAACGTTCGTAAGGGCCCGTGCCGCGTGTGAAGGTTTTCATCAAGGCTACGGGCTGGATTAAATATTTCATTAGCTTTATGTACGGTGTGAACACGGGAAGAACGACGAGTGATACTCACTGAGATCGTTGGTCTTGAGAATCAGAAGGATGATCCTTGGGACCTTCCCGAGCAAACTGACAAGTTCTTGAAGCAAGCCATCACCTAGAGCGCCTGATATCGCTTCCTTCTCCTCCGCAGATCTGGAGGATACAACATCCTTGTTCGCTAGGACGGTGTAATCCCTGCCCGTAATTGCACTGGCGAAAAGAGGGAACTGGTCATCTGTGACTCCAGCAACCTTGTATGAATACTTGCGCATTCCAGCTTCGTCGGAATTAATAACAGCAAGCCATAGCTTGGCATAATTGCGGCGGAGTTCCGTGGAGATGTCGCGGTATAAACCATGGTCGTAGAGAATAATATCAAAGTTGGGTTTTCGTCTTGAATCGTTCTTTCTGACAGCGATATTGCCTCCATGAGGGTCACAGTGTAGAGGAGCTCCATCTCCAAAAATCATTTCGTTGAATATGTGCGCCAGGGCTGCTGAGACCTCGTCCCTATCAATACTGTTGGAATCTAAATATTCTAGATCGTCAGGTCGATGACCTGAAATGAAATCCATAACCAAAATTCGCTTCTTTGCCCACATCACTATATTGTAACATTAGCACCATTTGTTGATGACCTCTCCTCACGATTCATGACTGAAAGATACGTACCCTCAGGAATAACCAAAGGCGCAGAGGTAGTCTGCTTCTTCCGGAAGTACTCTCCCGCCCTCCTCGCATTCTCCGCTTCCATCCTGAAATCCAATTCCTGCGGCAAGGAAAACTCCATCTCTTCCGATAGCCATTCAAGGTCATATTCAGGGAAGAATTTCTTAAGTGCCAAAAAAGTAAATCTGGTCAGGGAAAGATCCAACGGCACCCACTCCGCCAAAGCGGGATGTTGCACCTTAACCGCAACCTTTTGACCCGTTTCTCTCAACACCCCTACATGGACCTGCGCCAGCGATGCAGCACCAATCGGTACTCTGTCGAAACTCGAAAACAGCTCGTCGATAGTATGTCCCGTATCCTTGACAAACATGTCTTCAATAGACTCAAACGAGGAAACTGGACATTTATCCTGCAGAGGGATAAATGTCGTGGTCCATTCCAGGGGCAATAGGTAACCCATGCTACTCAGGTGTTGTCCCAGCTTGATAAATATAGATCCATTCTTTTCCAATACGCGCAGTGTCCGCATTGCACAGCGTTTATGGCAAGCTTTCAACCATAAGGTTTTTTCCTCTTCGAAGTCTGATTCTCGGTTCAACGTCTTGCGATAACTATATCGAAAAGCCGCGGAGAGGCGAAGGAATTAGCAAAAACAAGTCCCTCATATAGGTCTTTCATCATCATATTTAACTCCAACGCAAATCGTAAACAACCTCTGCCATCATTCGCCTCCGAGTCCCCGGAAATCCACATCGCGACCAAGCAAATCAAAAAGGAATATTTCACTAACTCATTAATGCAAACCGCAAGCGCGGTCATGACCCTCCCAGTCCTCTCCGCCGCCGAATAGACATGCTTCACATCGTCTGAAAACGCAAACAGCGTCGCCCCAACAGTCCCGCCAGCCGCAGCATATTTCAACGCTCTCTTTGGCCGTCTCTTATTAGCACTTCCCCCATTATCATTAGGCGTTTGGAACCGTGTCGTTGCTGCATATTCGCGAGAAGGAAAGCGAGAAGTTTGGAGCCCCCGTCCACGTCCCCGTCCCCTTCCTTGCCGTTGCTGCAGACATTGGCGGCACGTCCATTGAGGGAGTCTGGAACTATGAGAGGGGAGGGGATTGGACAACGATGATGAGGATGATGCAGCACCACTGGGAGAGAATGGAATGGTGGCCGGAACTCGAAATCGGATTCCCATAGTGGCGTTTTTCTTCGATTGGTTTCATGAATGTTGAATAGGTTAAATGGAATTTTAAGGACCGTAAAATAGGTAGACACGTTGCGGTGGGTAAGGAAATGGTATAATATTTAAATTGCCATAATAATTAGATTTGGAGTGAGTGAGAAATGTATAAAAACCCCTCCCATTACAACAGCCATAGCCATGTCAATATCGAACCCATTATTCGAAATGGTTGTGGGCTGAGTTGAGTTCGTCTTTGAACGGAAATTGTTCCTGGCGGTGGTCTGTTCCTCACTTTTGGTCTCTCCGGATGCTGGGGGAAGTTCGTTTTTCTTTAGTAGCTGTCGGGTTTTCCTACAAGGTTTCAGATTTGTCACGTGATACAACCTTATTTGAACCGCAGTAAGATGAAGTCCAAAGTCTTTATAGGAGATGGTGCAATGATACACATACCTGAGTATCTAGAAGGTTCGTGGTCTCCAGACTAAAGCTATAGTTTATTTCTTATGCGCGGTATCGATTTAAGGGGATTTGAAGGTAGTGAGAGTACGCAGAAGTCCGGCTCCTACAATGGTTGCTTATGTGAAGAGTGAGAAATAAGGGGGGAAAGTATAGAAAAAGGACAGTGGTAAAAAAAGATTTGGAGAAAATTGAAGCTGGAGTAGTGCGGTAGCGAACACTGAATATGTATTTTTTAAAGAGACAGAAACTAATAGAAGGAAATGGATAGGTTAAGTGTCCAGCCCGTGGTTGAAAACCCGGTTTGTGGAGGAAAATTAGAAAAGAAAAGTGGAAAAAAGAAAAGAAAAAAAGAAAAATTAATGAAACAATGAAAACATTCTGGTCATACCCAATGCGCCTATGCTATGCTATGCAATGTATGTTGTGTTGTGCGTTTGAGTGGTGGATATAATGAGGGAAGATTCTTCTTTCATTTTCCAACAATCCATGTCGTCAAAAATGATAAGAAAGAAGAAAAGGAAAACAGAAGGTTATCCAGACGTCTCAGAGTTGCAGATGCATTGCCAGAGAGAACCCCCAACTGGAGTTGCTAAAGGAGAGAAAGATGCAGGGAAAATGAATAAAGAAAAGTGATGCAAGCGGAAGCAGTAAAAAATGAAAAACAAACCACTACCACCAACGAATATGTGATATAATCTCCAGTAACTCCGTCTGCTCCCCAAATAAATAGAATGTAATTGGCACACATAATCACGTCCATCCAGAACCCGTATTCGTCCTTCGCCGCCTTGCATTGACAATCGAAGGCCGTCTCGTCAACGAAGTTGGCGTCCGTATGTCCTCACTTAACTGTGGTGATGTCGATGAGCCATGTTGCTGATGCTGCTTATGCGACGAAGACGAAGATGACGATGACGGCTGAAGTTGCGTCATGGCACGTGGAAGACGAGGTTTTCCAGAACTGCTTCCAGAGCCACCACCACCTGTCGCCGCTACCCCTGCAGTAGGGATTCTCCCATCGCGACTACCCGGTCGCATAGCAAGTCCGACACTATTGATCCCGTTCGGGCGTCGCGGTGTTTCTCGGCCCTCATACAATAATTTCGATGCACTTGATCGACCTACCTGCGGCGAGGAAGGCATGGAGTGGCTGGAAATAAGGCTGGGAGGCGCCGTTGTGACGCTCTGGCGTCGAATATTTGTCCGACGCTTCGCAGCTGTACTTAATAGTGTATCACTTTCCTCGCTCGATTTTATCAGTTGGACTGCTAGCTCGCGGACGAGGACGCGGGAATCCTTTTGTAGTTCTCTGATTGCGTCTAGGAGACCGTAGCGGCTTAGCAAGATTCCGCGTTCATCTGTTGAGTCGCATATGGTGGAAAGAATGCGGAGGAGGTTCACCCGCACGGCGGGTTTCGTATGGTGGAGCTTTTGCCCGATGCGGCTGAACATGTCTGGCCGGGCTAAGGTGGATGCAATGGGTGGGCTCAGCCGTAAAAGTTTTTGAAGAGGTTCGAGAAGATTTTCAAATGCATTTGCTTTTGATATCGTGAGGCAACGTATGATGGCATCCACGAAGGGAGGTGGTCCATTTCTATCGTCCAGGAGATGTTCTTCCACTTTTGCGGTTTCTTCTTGCAACCTAAATTTTGCTTACGTTAGCTAGAAAACTAGGTTACCGCCGTTTTTCACCTGGGGAAAGATGGAATTACCATGTAAATATGGCATCAAGAGCAGTCACCTGCCAATACGGATCAGACAGCAAAGATACGTAGAATGAAAGGCCCTTATTACGCCACAACTCTCGACGACCAACTTTTCCAGAATGAGCCATATCACAAAGAATCGGCAAGGCAAATTCTTTCAAGGGCCGTTCTGTCTTGACAATTTTCTGAAGCAAGGGTATAACGCCGTTTAAAGCAGCATCCTCTTGCCGCGGTTTACTTAGCCGGCACATATTATAGATGGTGTTGAGAATCTGATTGGATACTTCGCGGAAATGTGGCCCCTTCATGGTTGATCTCAGTAACTCAGTGAGGACATCAATAGCATTAGAGTTTTGGAGGCACTCGAGGGTCGTGGACAGCATGGAAAGGTTCTTGATAAATTTCAGCATCGTGATTTGGTGGACGGGAGTCATCCTTTTCAGTTCCTTAAGAACTCCTGCAAACATGTGTAAGTTAGAAAATAAATACGTAAAAAGTACACAGTGATGCCTCCTTAGACTCGTTTTACGTACTATGCAGAACGGTTCTTTCAGCAACCATCTCCTTAACGTAGCTTTCCGCCTGAGAAAATATAAAGAATATGTTGGCAATGCGACCTTCGCAAAGCTCAGCTAGTTCCCCTTCTTCATCCAGGACTCTGCTCAGAACCAACGACAGCGGGTCTAAAACAGAATTCCTCGATAAAATACGACAAAAGTCATTTTTTGGCGTTGAACCCTGTCACAATTTTGTAAGTCTCCAGATATCTATCTACAACATCGAAGGGATGGGATAAACAAGAGCAGGTTCCAATTACCTGTAATTCAAAAACACTCCATATCCCATTAACCCCAATCAAAACAAGGTCCCGCTCGTCCTCATAGTCATCCTCAAGGAACTCAACAAGGACATTCAAACCACCAGTGCTGACAAACATCTGTAAAGTCAATGTGGAAGTTTGGTACATCTGCTGCACAAACGCAGCAGCTTCAAGGCGAATTTCTCGAGGATACTTCTTGGAAGCGAATTTATTAATTATCGGGATGCCTCCGACGAAACAGAGGTTCTCTTGAATTTCATAATCGTCGAATATGATCTAAGCTCGGGGAAAAACATTGGTTCATCAGCTCAGTTGGACTTCATCTGACGGTCGTTAGAAGTTATGGACATTAATAAATAACTCACAGCATTAACAATCTTCAAAAGGTTTGATATCACATCCCGTCTCCGGCAATTTTCAAGAATTTCCAGAATGGGTAGCATGCCATGGGCACTGATAATGACGCTCTTCGTCTCCGGCAAATCATCATATAAAATCAACTGAGGCAATAAATATCAGCAGGTCATCTTCTGGGAGCTAAATGGTTTAAATAACCAAAAAAAAAAAAAAAAAAAAAAAAAAAAAAAAAAAGAGAGAGAGAGAGAGAGAGAGAGAACAAGAAAGTGGACACATACCAATTGCTCAGAGATATCTGCAAGCACATCATCCTCCTGCGACGTCTTCAACGAAGTGACCAACCCTTCAACCTGATTCCTCAGCCTTGCATACTTATCCCGAGCAATATTAGCCTCAAGGTCCATCTCATCCAGTCCCTCCTCAAGCTGCGCAAACGGATCGTCCTCATCGTCCACATCGCCTAGCCACGAGTTATTCGAAAGTTTCGAATTAATGAGCATCAGCGTACCCCGGTCAGAACTGGCACTGTCGCTCTCCGGTTTTCTACAAAGCGGATCCTCATCAGCGCCCAGAATGTCAGAGAAATCCTCGTCGTTTTTATCCTCTGCGAATTTTTCTATTTCGATGGATGATCGGGAACGGCTAATTGGGGGCCGTCTGCGTACTCGGGGTTGTTCGGGAGGATGGTCCAGGTTATTACAATCTGTGCTTTGCTCCAGAAATGTCGAGTTGACCATATCGACAGTGTCGGGTTTACTTGTATCATTTCCGACCCCCTGACGCAGTCAACTTAACGTGATCCTAATAAACTGGTGGCTCAAAAAGGAAGAAAAACCCTTACCTGGATAACTCGTAACTTCTTATCAAGAACAGCATCATTTGCAGCAATCAAATCAGAATAATCCTCAATGGAGCTTTCCTTATAAAATGCAGCGGGTCGGCTAAGATGGGCCGGTTTGTTACTGAGATTGGACCTGGGCGTAACAATAGCGCCCGATTTGGCAACAGGGATAGAGAGCTTCCGCTGCCGCGAGCGTCTTGGATTTTTTGGCGGATCTAGGGATTTATTGATTTTAGGTATAAACGGACGGATAGTTCGGAGCGGGTCAGTTTCGCTCTGCTCAAAGGAACGGTTTACAGTCGTATCGTCATCGGCGTCGTTATCTGTACTTCCAAGTTCAGTTACATTTTCAAAAGAAGCAAATGCTTTAAGTTTCTCGGACGATAGCATCCCACCAAAGTTGTCATGTGGTTTCAAGTGTGGCAGTCGCAGGGCACTGGGGCTTATCGCGGAGGAGAAATCGTCATCCCAGTTATCATCGGCATCTCCATTTGGTGACCGAAATCTTTCAGCAGTGTCTTTGTTGATGTTGATGTTTCCTCCCGGACCTGAAAGTGATTCTCTGGAAGGTATGACGAGCGGAGGCGCAAGTTCCTTCTGTCCTGGCATCGGGCTAGCGTGTCCTGGCCGTAAAGGTTTCCGAACGGAGTTGGAATTCGGAGATCGCAGGGCTTCGTTCCATTCCTGCACACTCTTGACAGCTACTTCATACTCTGTGGATTTCGTCGGGACGACAGAATCAGACCTTCGCACATTGACTATCCAAGGGTGCTTTAAAAGTTTCCGGGCAGACACTCGGAGGTTCGGGTCCTTTTGGAAACATTGCATGAGAAAATCCCGCACAGCCTGTTAACTACTAATCAGCCTCCAAACCCCACAAAAAGATAGCTCTAGAGGGAATCAGAGGAAAGCTGACAGGCGATGCTCCTTGGGGTAAAGGAGGATGATCATCATTAACAATACGAAATAAGGCCTGCATGGGCTGGAATTTGTAATAGGGAGGTTTCCCCTCAAGCAGCTCGATGACAGTACAACCCAGGCTCCAGATGTCAGAAGCAGTCGTGGCGCCAGACAGCTCAATCACCTCAGGAGCCATCCAGTACGGCGTCCCAACGACGCTGGACTCGTGAAGGCCCGTCGTACGACTAGCAACACCAAAATCAGCCAGCTTAACCAAGCCCTGTTTAGTGGTGAGTATGTTTGCTCCTTTGATATCCCGGTGTATAACACCTTGCTCATGGAGGTATAGAAGGCCATGGAGCACTTGAGACATGTAAAGACCGACGAGGTTCTCGGGGAATCGGCCGAAGTTTTTCGAGATTGAGTGCAAAGAGCCATTTTCGCAATATCTAAGCAAGCAGACAGGGTCAGGGACCCAATTTATGACCAAGATGCTAAGGAACTGGAAGCACATCCAACGTACTCGAGAATAATATTTAGAGTCTCGGCAGACTTCACAAAGCCATGGTACTTGACAATGTTTGGATGCTGCAATTTCGCCGTGATCTTGTTAACTTCCGTTCCTTGAAAATGCAAATGAAATCAACCATGGTTGAGCTTGTTAACTTACGTCAAGATTCTTCAGTAAATCGATTTCTTGCTATTAAAAGAAACAAACACAGAACCCGTACCACAAAGTTAGAACAGGGACAATCCACGTAAAAATCCAAAGAGTTGAATTTTGTTTTGCGCGCAAATATATGGAGGTGTGTGGAAGGGGTGTTTTATCCCTAACCATAATAACTCGAAGCTCACTCTTCGGAAGATCCGTAAGCTTGATCTGCTTAACGGCCACCGTCTCACCAGTACCCCAATTCAAAGCTCTGTATACCGATCCAAACGCGCCCTTGCCCAGACAATCGCCCAATTGCTGTTGGAAGTGATAGAAAAATCATATGTCATTAGCCTGACATGTAACCATTGTAAATTTACGATGAAACACGTGCAGCGTCGCGTATTTTCATTAGGCCACATAGAAAGGAGTAGAAAGGAAGATAGAAAGATAGAAAGAAACATACAAAGTCTGTAAGCTCTGCAACGTCCTTCGCAGTCAATTTGGAGCTCTTATCCCGTTTAGAGGGGCTTGTAGCCGCTGCTGATGTTGCTGGTGTTGTTGGTGTGGGTGTTGCTGCGGCCCTTGCTGCCCGTGCCTTCGAAGACGTAGAAGGGGTATCCTGAGGTCGAGATGACGGGAGAGACGGAGGGTGAACATCCCCGAAGTAATCATCGGCTCGTGACACCATCTTGGAAGAATGGCGTATGTGAGGAGATGGAGAAATGAGTGGTGGGGTAGGAAATTCGAGACCAGGTCAAAGGAGGGTGAGATGGATCATTGGGCGTCATGTCAGACAAAACAACGCAGGTCAACGATGTCCTTCTTTTTTTTTTTTTTTTTTTTTTCAGTCGAGGGGGATACTACGCCCACAGAGGATGACAGGAGAGGTGTATATTTTAAAAGGTATACAAGATAGGGAAGCAGTCGTGGTTGTAGGAGGGGGTGGATGTAGTGTGGAGCGGAGGGAAGCAAGAGGATTCGCAGCTTATCAGTTGGAAACTGGAGGGTAAAACTGGGGAAGAAAACAAGCTATCCAGTCAAGCTTCTAAACATGGTCAACTCATTTGGTGAACTTTTAATTAGTAAAAGTACAGGAATTTGCGCACGCTTGGAAGTAAACAAAAGTTGTAATTTGAGTTTCCCGCACCGTGAGATTTCAGAGTTCGTATGACGGGGGGTTTAAATTTGCTGTGCCGCCGTTGGACTCTCGCGGTGTGTTGCGATGTGTTGCGATCGATAATTATGGCTGCCCGCAAAAAAAAAAATGCTAAGGGCAGGGATGACACAGTGATGATCAGCCGTGTTTATTATCATGAAGATAGGGAACAATAAAAAAATAAAAAATAAAAAAAGCATACATACTCTGTACAGTACATATGTACTTTCAGATGAACAATGTCTTTGCAAAGCATTGTGAATTGTTTATATCTTAACCTGAACAAATATTAAATTTTCTATCTAAGTTAACCATTAACTAAATAACAAATTTACAGAGACTTTTTCTGATATTTCATTTCTTGTAACATTTCCCTACATCCTGCTAAAATACGTTCTAAATAACAGTGAAATAAATGCCCGGGTGCATCACGACGATTTCAGTATATCTACATCAGAATTCACCCCACGAAGCAGTCGCAGAACGTCAGATACCAAATATAAACTGCCGGCAATCACCAACGGACCTCCGCCTGAGATTTCATCAGCCCATTTCAGCCCTGATAATACATCCCTACTAAAGATTTCAAACCTAGCGATGTCGGGTATGAAGGCCTTTACAACAGAGAGGAGTTCGGCTGCCTGCACGCTTCTCATCCATGGCATCCCATCCACAGGGCCAAACTCAACAACAGCAACATTGTCGCCTGGTTTAACAATGCAGCTGAATAATTCCTTGATGTCTTTACCCTGGGATGCGGAAATTACCCAGGTGATACCAGCATGCTCAGGGGTTTGTTTTCGAAGATTGCGGTCTACATATGCACAGAGTACCGTGGCGGATTGTGGATTGTGCGCCCCGTCGAGTAGGACTGGTTGCTTACGTGGAATCAAAGGGTTGAGAGAGATTTCTTGTAGTCGACCGGGCCGAGGTGTCTTGGAGATATACGGGAATAGACTTGGTAGGGTCGAGTTGGGTTTGAGTTGCGGTAGCGCTTGCTGTAGACCTGTCAGCGCGCATGAGATATTGGCTAACTGGTGGGGTTCGAGATGGAGATGCTGGAATATCCCCACAAGTTCTGGGAATGTTTGTTGAATGATGTCTGGACGAGCAAATGTTATTGGCGTATGTGCCTTGACCGCAGCTGCCCGGAGGACCTGTTGAACCAGCGGCTCGTTTGTCCCGTCAACGACACAGGGGACTCCCGCCTTCATTATGCCGGCTTTCTCTCGCGTGATCTTCTCAATGGTATCTCCCAGTATAGCCTGGTGATCATAGCCAATTTTCGCAATGACAGAAACGAGAACATTGCTTAATACATTCGTCGCATCCAGCCTGCCTCCCATGCCAACCTCGATAATGCCCACCTCGACATTTTGATTGGTAAAAATTTCAAACGCGGTAGCTGTCAGCAACTCGAACTCCGACGCGTTGACGCCCAGCATCTGGCTGCGGAGTTTGACCTCGTTCTCTACACGGCGAAAGAAGGATTCCTGGATCACCCGCTCGTTGATCGTGATGCAGTCCCATCTGTCGATAAGGTGCGGGGAGGTGAAGGAGCCGCAGCGCACACCGGCTGCGGCGAGCAAGGCCGAGAGGTACGCTGTAATGGAGCCTTTGCCGTTTGTGCCAGCGACGTGGATAGCTCTCCAAGGCAGATGCGAGTGCTGGACCAATCGCGAAATACGGGATAGGCCGAGTTCAATCATTCTTCCAAGGTTCTTTTCTGGATCCCGGTTGGCTTTTTATCAAATGAAGACAGCAACCTTGTATTCGGAACCGAGAGAGTTCATTCTCAGGACCTCCATCCGATGGATGCCTTCTTGCACATTCACACCCTTGGAGTTTCTAAATGTATTAGTACTATTAAGAGTCAAATGATAAATACTATAACTAGTTATAGTCATGCCATTGTCACAGATGTTGGTTGTTCTGTATCCAATTCTGCGTGTGTCAGCTTTCGATTTCTGCCCAAGCGGTTCAGCTTCTTTTCTCCGCCAATCACCTCCTGATTCTCTCCGCTGAACCGTGCCACCACGTGACCACCATTTCAGCCTCAACCTCCAACCCTGGCAATGTTAGTCAGCCACTTGGCGCGCTGCTTTCGGATTTTCCCTTCTTCCAGATTCAAACAAACGGGGAGAGCAATACACAACCAATACGTGTAATTTACCGTCCGTTACCTGTCAACACATGCCTCATTTACCCAAATCCGTGCAGCGAATACCGTTCCCGTACCGCAAGCCTTCATCCAATTCATCATCCCGTGACTCCGGTCAGTTCTGCCCTTCCCCGCCACTTTCCCAGAACGGAAATCGGCGCTCTTCCGTTAACCTTCGCAGCGCCCAACTTGCAAAACTTCCATCTCCGCCCATCCTCTTCAACAACCCAAATCTCCCATCCACACCCCGATTTTAATTTTCTTCTCTGTATATTCTGGGTCGCGGACTGATTGTCATTTCCTTTCCTCACTTCTTATCTCTCATTTCGTCTGTTGTTGCGCGAAAATGGGAATCCCGTAAGTACACGCCTGCATTTTTTGGTTGTAGGTCAAGTTGGTTGCACTCGTGACTTTTTTCATCCACGCTTCCCTTGCCTTGTTGCCCTCTGTGGCGCCAAACAAAACTACCATGTTAACCCTTAATCATTAATAAAAGCCCTTCTTATCAGTCAAAAATAGTACTAACATACTATTATAACTCTGTTTATTAGACTCATATGGACACCACCTGCACAATCTGGTGCAAGTAATAACCGAAGAAACAACGCGAAATCTCACCCCTTAGCCCCATCGCGCTCCACTATCCGGCGCCAACGACCTTTCCGCCGCTTTCAAAGAGGCAATAATGATACAAATAGTTCCAATGGTTCAAGCCGAAACCATGGCTACGTGCCTTATTACCGGTCCTCAATGCCCCAATGGGTAGAGACCCTCAGTCGCGAAATCCTTGGCGACTCTACCGCCGGCGAACAAGGAAGTGTCCGGAACCCTTCCTCCCAGGATTATGAGTCTCGATTGGACTGGCCTTCATCTGCTGTATCGTCTTCCTCCTCTACTTTAGCGAGACGTGAAATTGGCCAGCAGTTGGCCAGAGATGTCGTGCGCTATGAAGCGCCAGGTCTCCGCATGAGGATCCCCCGCGAGTCATCATTGAACTCCGACACGCTCTATTCCCCCTTGTGGCCTCCAAGGAATGGGCCCTCCCGCCAATCAGCGTCGAATGGCAATGCGACTAGCTCCCGGTCGGCGGTGTCTCCCCCGGACTTGGCTCCCTACAGCCCTAGGTTTGCACCGGCATTCCCACCCCGTAACAACAACAGTAATGAGCTCACAGCTCCCGCCAGTTACACCTCGTCCACCACCACACTCCGGTCCAATAATAACGACCCATACATGCCATTATTACGGAGAGTTGGCCACCGCTCCATCGGCTCGGATACAGGTTATGCAGGCCCACCTCGTACCCGTAACATAAATAGACTTGAACGTAGTTCCTACTACGGCGACGGCGCCAACGATGACGAAGACGAAGACGACGACGATGATGAGCATAATATGTGGGAAACCTTATTCACAACCATAACACCAGACGATAATCTCCCCAGCTTCGAATCCTCATTTACCTCCGCCACGGCATCCGCTTCCACACCACCCACCCGCAGCTCAGCCAACTCCTCACAAACAACACTCCCCTCGTCAATTGGTGTCGCTAACCCGACCCGTCTCTTTATCCCCCTCGAATCATTCGCCGATCAGGGCAACCACTGCGATTTCCTCTCCTCATCCGAAGGCTCAGATACAGAGCCTGAGTCAGACATGGAGCGCGATCCCACACGTGCTCGTGTGGCTTATCGTCATCGTTATCAACCCCGTCGCCCAAGTCCGCTCCCAACAACAACAACAACAGCAGCAGCAGCAACAGCAGCAACAACAACAACATCATCAGCGATATCATCGTCATTGCTGTCGATATCGACGCTGCCACCGCGGGAGGATAATAGCCAACAGCAGCAACGAGAGTCTCGACAACATCAACAGCAACAATCCAACACTCCCACGGAAACGGACTCGTCAACTCCAACTCCATCCTCATTCAACGTCTCCCTCGGCCAGAGTAATGTCCTGGAAGATCTTCATCAGGTCCAAGCTATCATTGACCGACTGTCGCGGAGACAGGATATTCCGGATGAATGGTGGGCAGCTGTGGGTTTATCGAGGAATTTGGGTCGTGGTGTTACTGATGTCCCTGCTCGAAGTGGTAGTAGTGGTAATACCAATACCAATACCAATACCAATGCTTCTTGAAGGAGTAAGGAGGGGATGGTTGTGATGTTTCCTTTCTCTTTCTCTTCTTCCTCTTTCTCACATGAAATAAAATCTAGTTTACAGGTTTATGATGGATGCACGCATTAAAGCTGGGTGTCGAGTTTTATTAAGAGTTCTCTGCTGCCATTTCTTTTCATTCTTTTAAAATCTTGCTCAGTTCTGAGAACATCAATATCTCACATTCTCATATACAAGAAATTTTCTGTTGTGCTTTCGTCCTTCTGTACCTCCATGTATTATCAGATGACTGGTTTTTAGTTTACTACTTTTGAGTCAAATATGTTTTTGTTCTTGTTCTAGCTCCTATTCATCTTTATTTCATATTTTATCTTCTCTTTTAATTTTTATTGTAGGAATTCATGAAGAATACATGAAAAATAGTACTTTATATTTTGCTTCTAATTTTTTAATCCTGTTTAGTTATACTTTCTACTCTTGCTTTTTAAAATATATGTTGTGAAAGTCTTGAACAGAGCACGCGACTTTCTACTGTGTGCCATGTTGTTACCTTCAGTGTTCCCTTTTTCTCTTTTCCTTTTTTCTCTAATTAATATAGAGTACAAAACAAGTAGTTGTGTATGATGTCTCTTTTCTTCTTTGCTTCTCTTCTTCCTCATTCATCTCCGATTTTTACGAAATGAAATTGTTATATCCATGTTTCGACCCTACCAATGCGGCTCCCTTTCTCTATGATATAGTGATGATAATGACATTTCCCAATTCCATTCATGATATGTAACCTATTCATCCATATTTACAATTCTCTAACGTATATTTTGAAGAGACGATTTTAAAGTTGAGATTCAGAGGGTTTGACGGAATTCGAGAAGCGTTGATACGTATGCACTGGTCCGTGCATCGCCGTCCATCGATCGGTTTATCAACTTCATGCCAAGTGGTATGGATCGAACCAGATAACTTTTTAAGGTTATTTTTTTAGACTTTGTTTTAGGTTGTGGACCTCATGGTTGTAGGAGTGGTTGACTCTACTACAGATCCTCGATGAGGAGTAAGATTACTTAGTAACTAACAAAAGCACTTGAGATTGTAGCAACGGGCATTTCCGGACTAGTTTTAGCCTACGGGCATATTTGTATCGGATAGCGCACGTAACATGCTACCTGCCTGCTTTCTTTTCCCGTTCATGCTACTCTAGATAATCCCATTCGACTGCCTGACGCGAATGCCTGTGGTATCCCTATCTTCGAGCACACGTCTGCCCTCGGTAGGATACTGGTCTCTAATTCACCTGACTCAGCAACGATGCAATTTTGCTGTTGCAATTCACCAGTGCAATAGGAGTTGCCTAGACATGTTACGGAGATTTGCTGATTTTTGCTTCAATTAAATGATCTGTAAAATTCTGACACATCTCCCAGGTTAAGCCAATCACTTCTTTTGTTATATCTCCGCCGATTATGGGAAGAGGAATAAATGACATTTTGCTAAGAGAATAGTAGTTATGTGGCAAAAGTTGCGATATCAGACAGAAAGAACTGCAGGGATAAACTTATATCCTAAAGAAGGAAATACATAGTTAAATATAAACATTGCTGGTAACTATTTAGATATTAGTGCTGATCTCCATCTGATCATGGGCAAATACGCATATATCAGTTGCCCAACTCATATCAATAAACAGGGTTTCTACTGGATGCTGCCAAACAACCTGAACTTTTCAGCCATAGGACTCCACGCTGTCATCCCAAGTAACTCCTCAAGCTCACTACTATTAGAGCCACACGGAATTGGACCTTTGCATGGGTCCCTGAAACAGATTTTGTTCTGTCCCACATGACTAAATATAGAATCAAAGGGGAGTAAGCAAACTTCATTTAGATGCAATGGTTTCAGGTAACTAACAGGATTTGCGGTTGAATATTATTACGTAAATTTTGTGATATTCAGGCATGTTCACTTTGTCCTTATTGTAGTCCTCTGATGTCAACAGGGCAGAACATGTTCTCACAAGCAAAGTGACTCCATGTCTACTGTAACATGTATGCTGGCGATCTTCCACTGACACTAGGAGTTGAACGGGACACTTTAGTTTTGATGCGGAAGATGAGAGAACACACCACTGGGCTTACATCTAACTACAAATATGGAAAATAAAAAAAGGGGAAAAAAAAGGAATGAAAAATTTCAGAAAGCCTCTCAATGTCAAATTAAATAGGTGGGCCTCACAGGTTTAACTACCATGTAAGATTCTTGAAACGTTGGGCGATATTTCCCACTTACAAGGAAGAGACGTTTCATATTTCCTTAACTATATGGTTGTTGCTCATTCAAATTCGTTCAAAATTCGATCAATAGATTAGTAGCAGTTAAGATTTGAGTCAACCCTCTAATTAGGGACCAAATCCAACTGTAAATTCTAGAAAAAATTAAGCCAACTATTCGTTTTTCTTGATTGCTAGCAAATTAGTTGTAATTCGCTTCCACTAAGATCTTTGAACCCGACCCATTCGATAAATTTAACTACTGCCACATTGAACGGTTGAAGGAGTGCTCTGGGCCTTGCAACATTCCATTGTTCAGACACTTCCGTCACGTGACCTGATTTCCACCATATAGTCGTTCTCGTAGCGTGCAAACTCTGCAATCAATCAAGCTTGCCATTCTGTCAGATTGCTTGTAGGCCGATGTCACCTCAGCCAAATATTATCCGAGCTTAGCCTTCTCTTGACATACTGGCACCCATGCACTAGGCAGAGAGCGCAAACGAGGCTCATGGCTAGCTGCGACCCACCCTGAGAGGATGGTGTGTCGAAAGACAAGGCGAAGGGGCTTTTGATTGAGAACGCCGTTGAAAAATGGACAATGAAGGCTTTGGAGAAGTTTAGTTATATGATTCGCGTTGGCTTTCTCCCCCCATGTAAATTGTGCTTTCTAACTATTTTGGTTGCTGTATAAATTAGCCTGGCATGACCTGATAGTAGGCGTTATTATCATATAAATTCCTCCTTAAACTTTTCTATCGAGGAACTGAACAGAACATACTAGTTACAGGAGTAGAATCAATATCTACTTTACGGACAACCATGATTAAAATCGCATTTCTCACGCTGTCTCTGGCGGCATTGGGAATGGCAGTCTCATCTACAGCTGCTGAGCCTGTGACAGCTACAACAACTGGCCCTGTCACTGTCTTTACCATCATGATTCCCGGTGTCACTCCAACTCCCAGCCACGCATCTATCATCGGCGTTGTACGTATACTCTATTGCATCATTTGCGCACCCTTTCAGTCCGCGTCTTCCAGAACTCACACCTACAGAGTCATTGGAAATTCAAGCAACTAAACATCTTCCTTTCTCATAGGGCAAAGACGCCATTACATTTGGAATAGAGGTTTCAGGCTGTGTCAAAGATCTAGTAGGCAAGAGCTGCCGAGAACTTAAGGGTCTTAGCTCCATGACAATTATACAAGGCCCCAAAACATACTCGCAAAACCTCGCTATTTCTGAAATGTAAGGAACCCCTCTATGGTTCTCGGTCATTTGTAATCCAAAGTGGACAAATAAATTTACACAGGACGCTTTCTTTTCATACCTGCGTACTAAGTTTTTTGATTCCAGAACGGTTGATGCCGCCTGCTCTCTTGACGGAACAGTCCTAGCCGATTGCACATTAAAAATAAACTCAGCCAAGACAAAAGCCTCTGTCACAACGAAACTGACTGGAAAAGATTTAGAAAACGCTTTCGGCCCGATCACGGCTACAGCTGGTCAAGAGAAGTTGCAAGGCACCCCAAGCGCGGGTAAGGGACCAAATGCTGGGCCGAGAGCCACTGAAAATGCAAATTGGGCCATTGGTGGTGCGGCTGCGGCGGTTGTGATTGCTGCAGCTTTGTAGAAGAGACGAGAGAATGAGATGATTTAATATGTTGGAAATATCCTTGAATTTTGTTTCCCCCCCCCCCCCCCCCCCCCTTTTTTTTAACCTGGCAACAGATTTTTTTATATTGCCAGATGATTGGCTCATTTGTGTGATACCCTTGTTGGTTTGATTGGGTCTTGTTTAAGTTGTCAACTTTGATCATTCACTGGAATCAATAGAAATGGTATTTCATTTCAAGAAATACTTGCTCTATCGGTGTTCAGTAGCTGTGAATGCAAGACATGATCTTCGATGAAGCCACGGTGAGAAGCTCCTTCGTTGCCCTCTGATAAGCTTGGCTTTTCTCAAATTGTGGCAAATAATAGCAGTAATCCTCACAGCTGGTCAGCAGAGTCCTAGGCATATTTACCAGAAGATATGTATTGTAAGACATCAATTCATGAGGATAGCTGGGTTGTGCTTCTGGTAAAATACGCTCAACATCAATCGAAATTATTATTCATAGGATTAAAGTACCCATCACATTAGTTGTCACCATCACGCCCAATATATCAAATAATAAAAGAATCAAGAGACGTCTGAAAAGGCCCCGGGACACTATATTTAGGTTTGCTGATAGATGAAAAGCAAAGTAGGGATTTCGGCCCGACAGTAGCTCCGCTTTCCGAGCCTGGAGAATGTGGCGCAGCCGAAACTTGGAAGCCCGGGATTTCCTGCAACGGAGGCTCTTCCTCTGAATTTCAGGGGCCGGAGGTACATGCGGGATGCCTGCTTATGTGTAATACCGTATATCGTCAGCCTCTTATAAAATTCCATCGTTTACTTCCTAGTTGTTTAACTAACTGAGTTCTGATTTTATTTTCCTCTTAGTTATATTACAAGCATCAATACTATCACTGTTCAGGTGACACTTATCCATCTATACGAAATATACCCTTCTACAGAGAATACCAGTCAAATGAGAATATGGAAGAGCAGGTCAGAAGGCTCGTGGACAAGGCATGGGGTAAGCGCCGCTGCTGCACAGTTAATCCGTTATAAAAATGCCATGTCAATGGAGATGAGGCGTTCACGTTTCCCATTCTGCATTATATCAGTCTCTCAGGGATCAATATGTCTCCCTAACAAGTGATATCTCCCTTGTTCACAGCCAAATTCCAATCCACCCCACCTTCCGCCCGTCTCATGATCGCCATCAGCGGAATCCCTGGCTCCGGCAAAACTTCTCTGGCAACTGTCATGGCTGAGCGAGTAAATCAGCTTTACTCTGCGATTAACCCAGGCACATCCACACCGGTTTCAACGGCAGTCTCAATGGACGGCTACCACCTCTCCCGCGCCCAGCTTGCCGCAATGCCAGAGCCCGCTTACGCAACCGCCAGACGGGGCGCAGCCTTCACATTTGACCCCGTGAAATTCCTACGATTAGTGCGTGCGCTGCGGGAACCGCTGACTCCTGACTCGCCGACACTCTATGCGCCAAGTTTCGACCATGCAGTTAAAGATCCCGTGGAAGACGATGTGACCATCCCCCCGACGACGCGGGTGATATTTTTCGAAGGGAATTATCTGAGTTTTGATAAGGAGCCGTGGAATGAGGCGGCAGGTTTGATGGATGAGTTGTGGTTTGTTGAGGTGGAGTTCGAGACGGCGCGGAAGAGGTTGGTTGCGAGACATGTAAAGGCGGGGATTGCGAGGGATGAGGAGGAGGCGGATCGGAGGGCTAGGGAGAATGATTTGGTTAATGGCAAGGAGATTGTGGATTTTCGGATGGAGGTTCAGGAGATTATTGTTAGTCAGGAGGATGAGGGTTGGAAGGTCTAAATGGCTATGGGGAGAGAGGTGTAAGGTGGGCTAGGGGGTTTAATGATTTGATGTATTTTCTTAATTCAATCTCTTTTGTCTTTGTTTCTGCTGTTCAGGAAGATGAAAATCATGGTCAGGTTCATAGATGGATTGTCTCATGGAATAGAAATGAAAAATCGAGCTCTTTTTTAAGGCAGGGCATGATATAAACTTTCAGTATATATGTACCTGGCTATGTTCAGTATGTAAGTCATTGCTTTGGTTATTCATCGTTCAAGTATTCTCATTTGTCTGCTTTATTCTGATATCACAGAAATTTGTCTGTAGGTTTCGGAACGCAAGTCAAAATTAAGGAAAGCTCTGGGTCCCCCTTGAACAAGGGAAGGAAGCTAAACCATAAGCAGTTAGTCTATCCGCCTCCAGAATTTCCACTCGATGCGACTATTCCTAATTTGGGACTTGCAGGGTTTTTGACAGGAACAACCTCGCACCCAAAGAATAATACTTGTTGCCATCCCTTTTTCAATTTCAGCACTGTTCAACAAACTTCCAGGGTTCCCTTTCTCCCGGACGCTCCTTTTTTCTCTCTGCGTTTTCATTAAACGCAGTCCACTCCTTTCCATATCAAATACCTCACTCACTCAATTACACTCCTTTATTATTTTCATTTCTCCCTCATTCTCTCTGCCGTGCAGCCTCGAGTTTGTGACAAAATCAAGACATTCCATCGGATTAATCGAATCAATTTCGGTTTCGAACCACGTCCCCGACCCCGGTTAACAGTGCCATACACCGCCGAAATGCTCGCTGCGAAATCTATTTTCGTCGTTGTGCTGTTCGCTCTGTTCAATGTCGTCTTTGCCATCCCTCCAGGATGTCTTATCAGCGCCATCAAGTACGTTGTGTTCAATCTCTCCTCCCAAATTCCCCACGAGGAAAAGCAAAAGGCAGCATCGGGAGCGGCCAAAAGAAAATATGTATAAAAAAAAAACCGAAAGAAAAATTTACATTTGGAAATAATTACACCGTTGTTAATTGTTCCGTAGCACCCAAAAGGACCCAGCTGACCTTAAGACGGTCTGCGCCAACAAGAACGTCCAAATGGAGATCCTTCGTCTCTGTCCCGACAACCAGGTCAAGGAAGCCCTAAACTCCTTTTCCACCTCCTGCGCCGAGGCTGGCCATAAAGTTTGTAAGTGTTGGCTCTCCCGCACGTTATTTAAACAACACAATAATACAATTTGACTAATGGGACTCTTATTGCAGCTCTCATCGACACCAGCTCCAAGCCAACCGGATCTCAGTCTACCTCCGCTCCAACGGGAATTACTAGTAGTGGAAGCGGCAGCGGAAGCCTCGACGGCAAGGGCAGCAGCACCACCTCGGGTGGCTCTGGTGCCGCCCCAACCGGTTCTGGTGCTGGATATGTACGCAAGGCTGACTCTATAGCTGTCACAGCTATCGTCGCGTTTGTGGGATTTGTCTCTGCATTGTAAGATGGTGATGGTACGGTTTGTCCCAGCAACCTCCGACACAAGTACCAATCTTGCGTTTTACACATCGATATGAGAGGATGGTCGTATGGTTTGTTATAGACGAGGTAAAGTCGTGTAATTGTTTTTAATTTTGTCCTTCCCCCCCAACCTTCTACATCCGAGATTCCCCATCTTGTATCATCTATATATCTATGTTAGTTGATTTATGTCGTTAGCTCGGGTGTTGCATATAGGTATTCTGCCATTGTAGCCATTCGAGTAAAACTCGCAGGATATTTTATATTTTCTTCTTATTTTTGCCGTTCTCTCTATTCTCTAGTTCCCTAGAATATTCATGGAATCTTAATCGTACTGGTGGCCATTCATGGAATTTTTTGAGCTCTCTGCTCTCAAATCGTTCGCTTTAACATTCTCTAAAAATGTCAATAAACCTCTCCCTCAGCTACAAACCCCCAGTCACTCAGATAAAATAGCCATAGTGTGTATGTGCTGGACCTATTTTAAAGGGATGCACTGTCGTCCATTTCATAACTGGTGATGAAATCCCTGGGACCATTTGTCACGTGAGCTCCCACCACCACCTTAATTAAGCCTTGGACACACGCCTGCAGATCGCGTCTCCCTTTCCAGGCCCCGAAAACGCGTCTTTGGCATAAAAGCAAATTCTTCCTCACCACCTCGTCTCTTTTCCCCACTTCCAATTCTCATTTCTTCTTCCTCTGTTCTTCATCACCATCCTCCATTCATTTAACTCTTCTGTCCCTCATAATAACTGCCGTCTTCATTAATACGTGTTCTTCATTCGACATCTTAACCCATTTTGCCTCCTCTTCCCGTTTCCCTTTTACAGGACTTGAGATTTGCCAACTACGGAGGATCTTCCTCATTGCCTTGAGACGATTCAATAGAGAGTTAATTTCAAGATGTTTGTCTACAAGAGAGGTAAGCTCCGATAAACCTTCGTCCCCATGTCAGGCTGTATTTCCTCCTTGCAAATCATTTTTTATCAACCTCCACTGCGGGCTGAGATACGCCATGTGCTGACACTGGGAAATTGCTTAGATGGACGCAAGGAGCGTGTGCAGTTCGATAAAATCACAGCTCGTGTGTCTAGACTCTGTTATGGCCTAGATCCAGAGCATGTTGATGCCGCAGCTATCACCCAGAAGGTCATTTCTGGCGTCTACCAAGGAGTAACAACAGTCGAGTTGGACAACCTGGTCAGAACATCTCCCCAATCCCCCTTCCGACGTAATCCTGGAGAATGCGGTCTAACTTCATTTCTCCGCGATATATAGGCGGCTGAAACTGCTGCATATATGACCGTTACCCATCCAGACTACGCAATTCTAGCTGCTCGGATTGCTGTATCCAACCTTCACAAGCAAACCAAGAAGCAATTCTCGTCCGTGATAGATGATCTGTACCACTACCACAATCCCAAGAACGGACGTCCTGCCCCCATGATATCACAGAGTACGTACGAAATCGTAATGAGACATGCGGATGAGTTCAACTCAGCTATTGTTTACGATCGCGACTTCAACTACCAATATTTCGGATTCAAGACTCTGGAGAGGTCTTACTTGCTTCGAATCAATGGCAAGGTTGCAGAGCGCCCACAGCACATGATTATGCGTGTTGCTATTGGGATCCACGGAGATGACGTGGAAAGAGTCATTGAGACATATAACCTCATGTCGCAAAAGTACTTCACTCATGCCTCTCCTACCCTCTTCAACGCTGGTACTCCCCAGCCTCAGATGGCCTCGTGCTTCCTCATTGATATGAAGGAAGACAGCATCGAGGGCATTTATGACACCCTGAAAACTTGTGCTCTAATTTCAAAGACCGCCGGTGGTATTGGTCTTAACATTCACCGCATCCGTGGTACTGGTTCCTACATTGCTGGAACGAATGGCTCTTCAAACGGAATTGTTCCTATGCTCCGCGTTTTCAATAACACTGCCAGATACGTCGACCAGGGAGGTAACAAGCGCCCAGGAGCGTTTGCCATCTACCTTGAGCCATGGCATATGGATATTTTTGAATTCTTGGATCTCCGGAAAAACCACGGCAAGGAAGAAGTTCGTGCTCGTGATCTATTCCTTGCACTTTGGACACCTGATCTATTTATGAAACGCGTTGAGAAGAATGGTGAATGGACTCTGTTCTGTCCAAATGAAGCACCAGGCTTGGCGGATGTCTATGGTGATGAGTTCGAGGCTCTTTATGAGAAGTATGTTTAATCTAAACGAATCTAGCCGTGCAATTAGAGCTAATATGATTCTTGGTATAGATATGAAAAGGAAGGTAGAGGCAAGAAAACCATCAAGGCCCAGAAGCTTTGGTATGCTATTCTCGAGGCTCAAACTGAGACTGGTAACCCCTTTATGCTCTACAAGGATGCTTGCAACAAGAAGAGCAACCAAAAGAACCTGGGGACTATTAGAAGCTCCAATCTATGCACCGAGATCATCGAATACTGCTCACCTGATGAAGTTGCTGTTTGTAACTTGGCTTCCATTGCCTTACCTACCTTCGTGGATGCTGTGCGTGGAGAATATGATTTTGGCAAGCTCCACGAAGTAACTCAAGTCGTCGTTCGCAACCTTAACAGAATCATCGACCGAAACTACTATCCAGTCGAGGAAGCCAAACGAAGCAACTTCCGCCATCGCCCAATTGCCTGCGGTGTTCAGGGTCTTGCTGATGCTTTCCTCGCTTTGCGACTTCCATTTGATTCCCCTGAAGCCAAGCAGTTGAATATTCAAATTTTTGAAACAATTTACCACGCCTGTTTGACTGCGTCCTGTGAGCTAGCTAAGGTTGACGGCCCATATTCCTCATATGAAGGTTCTCCAGTCTCACAGGGCATCCTTCAGTATGATATGTGGGGTGTCACTCCCACCGATCTCTGGGATTGGGATTCTCTGAAACAGGAGATCGCTAAGCATGGAGTCCGCAACAGTTTGCTTGTTGCTCCCATGCCTACTGCCAGCACTAGCCAGATTCTTGGATTCAACGAATGCTTCGAACCTTACACCTCTAATATCTACTCGCGCCGTGTCCTTGCAGGCGAGTTCCAAATTGTCAACCCGTGGCTTTTGAAGGACCTGGTGGACTTGGGTCTCTGGTCCGACAACATGAAGAATCGAATTATTGCAGATGGAGGCTCCATCCAAAACATTCCCAATATCCCACAGGATATCAAAGCACTTTACAAAACCGTCTGGGAAATCTCTCAGCGAACCATTGTTCAGATGGCTGCCGATCGAGGTGCCTTCATCGACCAATCTCAATCTCTCAATATTCACTTGAAGGAGCCCACCATGGGTAAGATTACCAGCATGCACTTCACCGGCTGGAAACTCGGCTTGAAGACTGGCATGTATTATCTCCGTACAATGGCCGCGTCTGCTCCAATCCAGTTCACTGTGGATCAAGAACAGCTCAAGGTTGCGGACACTAACGTTGCTCGTGTTAATGGTGCTATGAAAAAACGTGCCGCTGTTTCCGCAAGCTATACTAGTGCCTACTCCTCTGTTCCTCGACCCATGTACGATAAAATCCAACCCAACGACCAGGCATCCTCTTCCAATATATTGGATGCGTCTGAATTGAGCTCAAGTTCCGTTTCTCCCGCGTCTGTCGTAGCTATCCCCAGTACCGAGGAAACCACGCCAGAAACCACCCAGCTTAATGGGACCAGCGAGTCTAAGAGTGAAAAAGCAATCACTGAAGAAAGTGAGGCGGATATCTATTCTCAGAAGGTTATTGCTTGTAAGTATTCTACCCTTTCCTTTTACGCACTATAAAACGATAATGCCCCGGCCCTCTTCCAATACGGAATACTGATGAACTTTACTCAACTACAGGCAGCATTGAGAATCCAGAGTCTTGTCTGATGTGCAGTGGTTAGAAGATATGGCCATTGGATATTACACTGTCAAGGTGTGAAATGGACGAAAGTACATGTCCAACGTCCGCATCTCACCTCCCACGACTGCAGCCCATCTGTCGATAAATATAGCATAGATTAGCACATGATCATCGTCTGGATGTTGACTGATCAACATTCTCTTTTCCTTTCCATTCTTCCTGTTTAACCCGTTTCTAGTGTTCTCTTGGTTTTTGCCCGTGTTTCCCACTTATGTCATCGTTGCTGTAACGAGAGCATCCACGGTTATGTATGATTTTTTGCTTTGCTACTTTCTTTTTGACGTCTCTTTTTTTAACGGTACCAGGCTTTGTGTATTTCTTTTCTCCCTTGTCTCCACCGATTGCCCCATTTCCAACCATGAATATTTTACGCTTCCTTTCTCTTTTCTTTTCTCTTTTTCCTTTTCCTTTTTTGTTTGTGTTTCAATCCAATATATTACGCAAAAATAATTCACATCCACATTCAGTTACCTGAGGCAACAGCTATTACCATAAATTATGTATTTCAAGTTTTTCCAGTATGCAGGCTTGTTTCTTATTAAGTAACGAAAAGTGATGGAGATCATATGTAGTTCTGGCCCATTTAGGGGGTCGTATACAATTCGACAGCGCTTCATTCCAAGAATCGGTCTCCCCCCTGGTTAAAATCTCGGTTTGAGTTACTTCAACAACATTTCTCCCTCAATCACCCTGTTAAGTTGATTTTTGTTTGCTAGGTCGAACATTTAATACTAATAATAATCATAGTGCGCGCACTGTAAACCGTTACTTGGCATCTGCTGGGGATTTGACGCTATTCTGTTGAAGAACATAATAACCCCTGTTGCATTCAAAGAATCAAATCAAAAACACTGGTGAGATTGTGAATATGTCTGCCCCAGGGGGGAGGGGAGGATTGCATCTATTCGAATCCGTGGTGGGAGCGCGTAGAGCAAACATTCAGAACCCCTTTCCTTTGAGATGCTATACAGCAAAATAAAAACAAGGGAACCCCCTCCCTCCCCTCCCCTCCCCTCCCATCTGAATGATACTTAAAGAGTTAACTAACCATTCTATCACCCTCCGTTTTAATTAGCTCATGAACCGTATTTGTGCAAATAGTCAACTAAGTTGGCTGGAATAAGCGGATGGATGACCCGTTGGAGTTTAAATATACCTAGGTAACTGTTGACGACAATGTTGAAGAAAAACTTTGGTCGTAGTTGACTATATATTCTTTTCCGTAAGTTTTGCATCGGATTTAAAATGCAAAATTCAAGATGCAAAAAGAGCAAAACACAGAGCGGAATGGAGGTTAGTTGGGATAGATCATTCTCCAAGGTTCGCCACCCCTTGATGAAGTTCGGTAAGCTAACTTTGAACTTATTAACTCTGTCTAAAAAGGTTCAGCCCTACAGAGCTTATCTGCACGACATGATGACAGTCAAATGTATCAGATGCCAGGTAGTTTGGTTGTAGAAACGTTGGTAATTCCCAAGGATCGGGTTGGTTTCTTATTCCAGTATTTCGAGGTTGTTTGGAGCAAAGGGTGGTGGTGGTGTTCATGGTTGCCGACCGTCAAACACCGAGGAAAATTGAATGGGTGGGATATGGTAAAAACCGATAACTGCCAAATAATGACGCTTGCATGCATATAAGGATGCATGGAGACATACTGAGTATCAAAGAGAAGGGCTTTTGAGAGCACCGCATCCAATATGGGCATATTTGGGGATGAAAAGGAAGCCCAATGGCCTTCTCAAGAATTCAATTCACTTCCATTGTGCATACATACATCTAGAGATCCCATCCAGCCTTTGCATTAAAACAATTCTTGGCAACTATCCCGGGAAGATGCAAATTGCCAGGAGGAAACTGGAACAGCAGCCGCAACTGCTGTTCATCACATAGAAAACCCAAACCAAACAACGGATCTAGAGAGTTGGGATGTCATCTCCTATCTGTGAAGAAGCCTCGTATTACCTTGAAAAGGTAGACCTGATAAAGACCAGACGGAGGTATCAAAACAGCGCGACCAAGCAGCCTTCCCTCTCTGCTTTCTGCGTCTCTCCCTCCCACTCTTTCTCTTTCCTTCAACTCCTTCACTCATCGCGTGTGCAACGAGAAAAGTAAGTCGCTCCGGCAGTGGCAGTATGGTTCTTTACCAGTTTCATCAGTGTTTGCCGTTGTTTCAACTAAGATAATGCGGCAAATATGAGGATCACAGTATATCAAGGTAACGAGTCCATGTCGTTTCTCCTCATTCGATTTCAAGTCCTCCAACCTCCTAGGTGTTCAAGTGAGTTTTTCTAAACCATTTTTCAAACCTCTCTAAGAGAAGACGAAAAGAGATTTCAACCGAAAATTCATTCAGAAAATAGTCTAAATAGATCTCACACAAAATCGCTTGACAGTGAATAAGCAAGTGAGACAGAAGTGCAAGAATGCCATCATGTCCATGGATGAGGGCCTTCGATGATACCATGCATGTTGTCTGTTTTCCTGGGCTGTTATACTTTTAACCCGCTTCACTTAAGAAGAGAATAGAAAAGGGGGGGGGGGGGGAGGGGAATAAAGAGTAAAGGGCAAAACAAGAGGTGTTTGCCAGCCATCTAGATCGTTGATGGGACTTTTAATTTTAGGTACGACTAAGTGAACCACCAGAGAACATTGTGAACACGGCCGTCGCCATTCGGTGCGCTGTGGCTAACGTTAGTGGATGATGTACAACTCAACTCATATACGAGCTCGATGAGGGAAATATTGGGTCCAACTTACACTTGCGAGAACAGATTTTCAGTCACATCAATGGAATGACCGTTCTATATGTCAGGATGAAGGATTAGGATTTTAGTTTCAATCGTTCATGAATTTGTGTCTGTTTTTTTTCTTTTTTGGGCCAGAAAATTTGGGACGGACGGATTGGGGAAGGGGACTTACGCAGCCATCGCACTTGTCACCCACTGTAGCTTTATGTGTGTTGTCTCCATAGGAGATGGTCAATAGCTTGTGGCAAAATGGGTTGTCGTTGCTTTTGGTACCCATTAACCAGCTCGGAAGAGCGACAACACTGTCATTCTTAGTGTCGATATTAAATCCGCATGCACCTAAACCACCGCCATAGTGAGTCATGTCACCGCTGCAGGGACTTCTTTGGGTGCAGGGCAATTCATTTGAGGGAGGGGTGGTTTCGGGTGTTTTAGCAACGGGTTCAGCAGAAGTATGATAGAGGGCGGCAAGGGTGGCAGGAGAAGGAGCAGAGTCGTAGGTCTGTGAGGATGGGGTTGGTGGAGAAGGCTGAGTAGTTGTTGTAGCTGGCAGTTGTAATGAAGTAGACATAGTTGCAAGACTTGAGCGGGATGGTTTGCATGAGACAACTGAGGGCATGCTGGACGCCGCAGTAGGATTGAGAGTGGAAGTTGAGACGGCGTTCACGTAGCAGGCCGAAGGGAGGGTTGTCGACGGCTCCTCTGTCCCAACAGTGCTAGTGGCGGTGACCACCACGGTTTCCACAACAGTGACGGTCTCCCAAATTTCGACAAGGCTCATAGGGTGTGCAATGGAGACGGAGGCCAGGAGGCCAGCTGCAACGGCCAAGTGCTTGTGGATTTGTTGTAGTGTCATTTTTGAACAGATAAGCGCTATCAAAGCGGGTATTTTCAATTTCTTGCCTATCAAGGATTTGGATAAGGCAATGTTCGAGTTCGATTTTCGAAGGGTCAGAGAACTAGCTCTGAGTAGCCAACAAAAAGCGGAAGAAGAATATGTGCGATTTGATACCAATTGGAAAGGATATATAGGGATAGTATTCGTTCAATGAATGGAATCCAGCCAGGCGATTCAGCGCATAGACAGATCAAGTGAGGGTACGCGAAGATCCAGCTGCTCTGCAGTCTTTTAAGGAGTGAGAATTGACCGCAAGAACAAGGGGATTCTTCGAAATCGGATCAAGGACAGTTCCGAAAGGAGGTTGGATGTGTTGAAGTTGGTTAGCTATGCGTGCGCGGAGGGGCTTGGAGGCTATTTATGATAAAAATAAAACTAAAAAAAGGGAGGTGGGAAACCAGTTCTCCGACACAAGGAATGGATGCCGGAAGATGTTGATGGAGAAAATATGGAGACGGCAGTGGAGCTTGGTTGAAGGAGAAAAGCACAAAACTGCTCCACAGGGCCTGCTTAGTCACCCGCGTAGGATGCTGTGCTTCTGCGTAATCCCGGCATAGCGGATAACCTGGAAGTATTTAATCTTATCTATCCATGGATATAACTAGTTAGTTACCAAATACCAATAGCACGCTGATGACAGCAAATGACAGCAACGGGGAACAAGTCAACGACAGTTTCAAGGGCTGGATTTTACGGAGGAAAGTTGGAAGCGGAGGAGTTGGAAATAGTCCCAATCGCCACGACATATAATATATATCTTTGACACATTGTGCGGGTGGGACCGGTGAAATTCGTATCCAAATGACGACTAGACAGAAACACAAAAAACAACACCAAACACACGCACACATCGCACGACACACACACACACACTCTCTCTGGCCGCCCAACCACACAAAGGAAGAACATCCCTGCGATGGAAAATGTTTCTCGATCGACGTTTGGTTCCTTGCATCTTGTTTATTTTAGGGTTTCGCCCAAAGTTGAGCGAGCGGGCCCCCGGTGCCATTGGCTGCTGGCCCTTGACCGGTTCCTGAAAAGTGGGCCCCAAAACCTTGGAAAGGGACTTGTTCGTTCATCAACTTTGGTACTTTGGTGTAGCGGGCCCAGCCAATCACCTACGTCATCTGCAGGCCCTTCCGGGGGCTCCCAATACCCAGCAACCAGCAACACCCTTCGCGGGCTGAGCCTCCAAATCGCCATGCTGACTAACCGGAGTTGCTGTCCAGGGTCGCACTGACCGTTTTGCCAGAGGGGGGGGGGGGCTTACCTAATAGCCCTGAGTCCCAGCAATCTGGATCCCCCTGCCCCTCTGGCCCGCCGCGGCAGGAACAACCGCTTGCCGGCCTGCCTTACCTGCCTTGCCTGCCCCCCCTGCCCTTCAACCCTTTCCACCCTTCAAAACAAAGTTTCTATGCATCGCAAACTGTTTCGTCCTGGCTGGCTGGCTGGATGGAAAGAAACCCTTTGCTGTGTTGGCTCAGCGTCTGCCTCATGACGTGGAGATTTCTTTTCCACCTCTGGTCGTTGGGTGCTGCTTGGAATGGAACCCCCCTTCTTTTGCTATTGTGGTTGAACAATCCCAGAGAGACAGACCCCGATTTCCTTCTTTTCGGGAACCCCAGTGTCAGAGATCCCTGTGAAAAGTTGAAAGGTATCATCATCAAGGCTGCCATCCAAGGAATCAATTCTTCATTGTTCTAGAATGTATTTTCCTATCCTCTTCTTGTTTCCATGTCCTCTGTAGTCAATCTTGCTCCAATCAGGTCTTCTGTGATCTGTAATCAAGCATCATGCTCCTCCGTTCCCAAGGTCGTTTGTTGTATTCTTCAAACCATTGTTGATTGAAAAGAAAACCCGAATTCAGGCTGTAGTATATTCAGGATCGAATCAAAAGTGTGCGTTTATTTTTTTTATATTTTTTTTCTCTCGGCTGGTGATTTTCCCCACCCCTCCCTTCCAGCCATACCCACCACCCAACAGTTCGCTTGCCCATGATGGGGATGTTTTTCACCATGTGCAAAAGTGCATATCCAACAAGTAGATATTCAGGTTCCACAAGCTACCTAAGAACACGGTGTAAAAATAAATAAATAAATAAATAAATAAATAAAAGGCGGTGGGAATCCGAATCGTCAATGGTAAAGATATAATTCAATAGCAGGATGATACTATACCAGCTGTTGAACCAATCTAAGTTTTCGCCATTAACGCTTCAGTATTCTCCTGTTTCTCCGATTTCAAGAATAAACTCTTCGAGAAAAGGGCACAAGATCATACAAAGAAACAATTCACGTTTGACCTGACTTGACAAACACAGCGGGATATAGTTAACTGTCGAAGAGCCCACACATCTCAATCACGTCACATCGATTCAGCCGGCGTGTCAGGGGATTTGATTGAAACCAGTTATGGAGACCCTGGGTGATTAGGTGATACGCTTAACATCTACGGAGGGGGGGGAACACATGGTGCCAAGGGCATTACTACCATGGGATAACCCGCCCCCCACCATTCCGACACCTGAAAGGAGAATTTGACTTGACATTCATTGCAAGATTGCATTGTCATCATACCTTTCTCTCACTTGGTCAATGATGGGTTTTAAAACGTGCTCCAAAGAGGAAACATACTTCAACGCAATGAGCGTTTCCTTTTCTTCCCCCAACCAACCCCCCCCCCCTCTTTTTTTTTTTTTTTTTTTCTGGTTTTCTTTTTTGCTTTTTCCTTTGCTTTTTCTTTTCTTCTGTGTTCTCTTTTTGCTTTTTTCTTCGTTCTCGTTTTCGTTTTTGCAATGTTAAACCAACCATACCATCCCGTATCCCAACAACATTCCCAGATGATTGAATGTGCACCATATTTTTTTTTTTTTTTTTTTTTTTTTTTGGTGGTTGGTTTTTCCGCAGGTGATAAATTGCACAGTTGAAAAGTTATTGAAGCGGGGGAAGAAGCCAACTGATTTTATATACTCGCGTGGTTGCCCGAAATATAAATCTCTCGAGCGATAATAATATGAACCATGTTCGAAAATTCCACCCTCCTGGTCTCCTTGATGATAACTTAGCTACCGGTTTTTAACATTCATAGAAAAAAGGCCATGGCTGCTTTCCGGGTGGTTCAAGGATGAGGCTGGATGGGGTTGAGAAAACGGGGATAGATTGATTGGTTTTCTTATGCATCTCAGACAGGTTCCTTGGAAGAACTTTGTCAAATTCGGTGGGTCTCTCAGTATTTTACGGAGTACTGTGCGGGATTTTGTTATTGAACCAGCGGATTTCCCATAGAGTTACACGAGGAACGAGAGGCTTATTCATTCACTTTAATACAGTTTTTCACTTTAATACAGTTAAATTGCTTATTTGAATTCCGATCCAATTTAGATGAGAGTTTTATTAATTTTTAATTTTAATTTTCTTTATTTCTTAATTTTTCACCTTTAAATTTAAATTTCTAAAATTCTATTTAACCTACATTGCTTATTTGATTCACTCCTCTGAATTCATTGCTCATTCGATTTCGCTCGTCGAATTTGATTAGAAGTAAAAATTGATTCTACAAGTTAGAATTTAAACCTGACTAGATTATAGAGAAAAAGTCAATTATTATTCATTTTTCCAAATTAGTTGCTAGCAACTAGTAGTGGTAATTTTGCTTCTGCTATTTAAGATCTTTGAATCTTGAACTGTTCCAAACAAAGTTGACAACAGCATTCTAGAACTTCTCTTAAACTTCTGTTCAAGAATATTTGATGTTACTCTTTGCAGTTTTCTATAACTAATCATTCCAAACTTCCTTATTTATCCTACTTTTAACACATCTACTGGAAAGCACCGGAAGCATAATTCTATAACTAGAGAAAACGGATCATCCCGATAGCGGATGATCCCACATTCACGGCAATGGGGGTGGCAATGACGTAGTTACCTCTGTCTTCCACAGTCCGTCCGCTTGTCTCGAAGCCTAGCCACAGAAAAGAGACGTCATTCGGGAAAGTAGATCAACTTTGTCTGGCAGAAATATCTTGCATCGTTGGTAGGAAATCGCCCAGAAAGCAACATAATTGGAAGTCTAGTTCTGGACTGTTTGTAATTATGGACAAAAGGACCACGTCTCCGCAGCTTAGAATCTGCCCAGCCACCCATGAATTGTCCCCACAAAAGTGTTCACAATTGCAGGCTCTTTTCGGTCTCAAATGGCTACGAGAAGCACCAATTGAATTAGTCGACTTTATCATTCTGAAGAATGGCTGGACCAGTCGACTCCCCTCCTGGCGGGATATTTTCCTGATTTTCTTTTTCCAAATCTCTCTTTAGCAATACCTGTTTTTCTTTGCCCGCATTGCAACTCCAGTTTCTGTAGTATGGATGACCTCACCCTGCCTGTAGATTCGAAAGCAAACCTTGCGTCTCCGTCATTTCTTCTGGGGCAGAATTTACTTCTGACCCTCTCTCAACGATATCGGTTCTGCTGAGAGCTCAGCCGTATTTGATGATCCTATTTGTGACATTCGAAGACTTGACAGTGTTAGGCGGTTGATAGAGTCGACATCAGCTGGGTGGTGCAGGTGTAAGCTCAGCAGGTCTCGAATCTGCCGTCTGTCGTTTGATTATTTACAGATCCTGCGTACTGCTATTTGCAAGAGAACTGAAATCCGCCTGCAACAGAGAATAACCGTGGGATTATATAGGGCACAGGCAGCGTAGGCACTCCTTCTCTAGAGGTGTTAACTGCCTCCAGTTCCGCAGAGGTGTTATGCCTGCATTCTCCATTTTTTAATTTTTTCCCCGAGAATCTCGTGAACTGATGGTTTGTTTTCATGAACTTCAGCACTCTGCGTCTCTGCACTAGTTGGAGGGTGTTCTTGCGTCGGCGGGCGGCGGAGCCAAAAAAGAAATCTGTTACTGTTAGAGTGAGCACTGCAAGAGGAAACGCCAATGCCAATTGCTGCTTTAAGAACCAGATTTAAGACCACCACTTCCGTTGCTTCCGGGTTTGTTCCTTTAAGCCCCGGGGCCTCCAAGAATAGGTGCGGACAACGGGCCTAGAGTAGAATCTCCATATGCCCGTGAAGCTAATTTTGATGTAGTTGCGGATGCGGGGAGAGGGGAGGATGTAGAGACTGATGATTTCGTTATGGTAGCAAATGTTGCTGAAGTGGTCGTTCGAGTGAAACTGTTTACTCTTGGCCATGTCACATGACTGATAAGTCTTACAAGTCCAAGCGTGGCGAAGGAATCCTCTATTGATAGCGTCGGATAGGCCATTTGTCTCAGGCAAATTGGTTCACATCAGGCTGAAAATAGTGGGTCTATCACGCTGCTAGAAACTGCCTGCGCAAAATAGAATTCCATGACTTATTACGCACTCCGGTATATTTGCTCCGATAACAATTGTGGCAAGGGCCGCAAAGATAGATGGTCCCCAGTTTTATTAGAGAAACCCGCAGTTGATGGACAATGAAGAAACATCATCAGTCAACCGCCTCAATTCCGATATTTAGGATTAGCAGCTGGCGATGCTTCTCCAGCAACATTGGTGTTCCCACGTAATGGTGTTATTATTCGGCACGATGGCAGGAGATCTTATGGCACGGGGAAGAAAAAACCGCAGGCTTCAAGTTGAGCCGCATACAAGGTGGTTGATGACAGAATTGGGAATTAAAGAAGAACATCCATTCTTGGATGCTGTTGTTGTCCAATATATATTCTATACAGATCCGATGCTCTGCGGTATGAACGAAGACCTTCTATCCCAGGCAATTCCGGCAAATGGAACATCCCCTTTTTCAACGCCAAGGACGGAACAACGGGAGGGAAGCATCACTCGGTGATTCACCTCTGTTAACTTGATAATGTTGGCAAATCCACGGCTCTCGTTAACCGAAGCTAGAAATCGCGGCAGAGATGGAACTAATCCTTGGATATTACCAGCACAAAGAGCAGGCTTTCAAGAAGGCTTTCTAGCATTCAAACCCATGCGCTTTAAGTCAAGGCGTGCGATGGCGCTACATAAAGGTGTTGTTGACCTGGCGTGGAAGATGTGACAACAGTGATATTAGCACAGGGAGCTACTGTGGAAAGCAGCAAGAAATCATGAGGATTGGCTTTCTGAAGTTGTATTAGATGCTGACTGAATGAATGCCGGTCAATTGCGAAGGCCTGGATCCTGAAATATGCTTGATATAACTTCTTTCGGCTCCCAAAAGTCCGGGGTTATATCGTCTACCGTCTGGTCGCTAGCCTGGTTAGAGAACCGAGTCACCTAGGTAACCAGTTAGTGCTCTCTCTTGCGCTTTAAGCATCCAAACACGCTGAAAAGAACCATCAGGTGCGGGTTCGTAGGCTGGTCTAAAACATAAACATCAAGGAATTGATAGAGCGAGAGGAGTGACTACCATAAGTTTAGCTCTCTTCATCGCCAAACAGATTCCAACACCACCTATCAGCGGTAATTGGGCCCATCATGGACGGAACGGCGTATCTTTTTTATCATTTCCTAGGAAGGTAATGTATGGGTACAGGTTAAGGTGGGAGGGGTTTTTAGAAAAACACTTCCTCGGCCTTACAAAATTACGGAATGTGCGCAGATAATGCATCGAGTGAATCATGGAGTTGCCGTGGCAAGAATATAAAGTCTCGCTGTACGGTTAACTAATGCCTCGGATTCTTTGGTTGATCCTTTTGGTATTCAGAAGAGTAGGTTGTCTCAATTATAATAACATATTTCTATATGAGAACACCCCGTGAATAATTTAAGTGAAAATAGTCTAGAGTTAGATTCGACAAGCAAAGGTGAATAGAACTGAATTGAAACCAGAGAATGCGGGAAGAATTGAAAATTTCTCAACAACGAGGCCTAACTAAACCTGACTGTAAAAGAATGATTCAGGAGAACACATATCTACCTTTATGCATCTCACACACTCAATGAAAATCATCATAATAGGAGTCACTTAATCACTGTTAGACTTTAGAAATTCTCTTGTGAAAGTATGTTTGCAGTGAGGTTGTTATAAAGCATAAACCTGACAAATTGCTATTATATTGACCTCAAAGGCAGGCTAAAATATTAAGGACTAAAAAAAGCAGTATCGCGTAATTAAAGATAATCGTATGGGTCAACAAAAAGCTAATTACCCCTGAAAATCTTAACTCCTCGGGACCCAGAAATTTCCGAAGGGTTGGGACGCAGTAATTTTAGTAGTTTGGAAACGAAGTGGTATCCTCACACTCGGGGTGGAGACGTTTGAATTTAGGAATGGAGAATTTTGACTACCAGGACTTTGGTTTGACTTGAGGGAAGGGAGGATTTGGCAGATGTTGTGGATTTGGAGGAGGATGATTGTGGTGATATCAAAAATGATCTGGCGTCTCCGCGGAATATGTGACTAGATGTTTGAATGATAGTTATTCTGAGAGAGGTTCACGACATTCCCTGGATCATCAGTGCATCATAAGTCAGGATGCACTGTGTTCTCAAGGAACTATTTTAACAATAGTTCTTATTAACTGGATAGGTGGCGACTGAAAATCTTCAATCTGAGAGATCTGAAACACTTTTTTTTTATTTCTTCCCCCAGATCAGCTTCATTTTAGGCTGTCTATGCACCCCATACTCTAAGGTTTGATAATAGCAAATTTTCGATGGTGTTCATTTCAGCAACCTGCACAGCTGGGAAACAAATATGTGATGCACTTGATTACATCTGCCATGTACCATACTCATTTTGAAATTCTTGAATGTTCTGAAAGATTGCTGAGCATGAACATACATAAATAATGTATACATAATGCATGAACTGTACGATAATCATTCTTTCCATCATTTGTTTTAGCCGCTTAAATGACAGATGAGAAACCCATGTCCATGTATACTGTACACTGTGTGTGTTGATCTTGGACCTCATATATGCAGAAGGACATAAAATGACGACTTTTAAACACCAAGCCTCCTCAATCTCAAGAAATTGAGAATCAAGCATTTAAGTGGCAGCGGCTAACAAGTTTGATCAATAGAAATTCTATCCACTCTCTGTAGTTGATCCGTACCCTGGAGAAAATCTTTCCAAATTATCTAACTAACTGAAAATAAATATTTGATGTAAGTTGGTGGCTAATTTTCTGATAAGACAGATAAATTATCCATGAAATAATTCTTGAACATCAGAGGACAGGGAGTTAACAGTCAAAAGTCAATATGTATTGTGAACTCAAAGACTCTAATGCTTAATTTGCTTTGACAAAGTATGTGCTGACAATCTGAACAGCTGCACTGATATTCTAGATGATCATATGCTAGATGTTCTAGCTTTCTAATCAATGTGCAACCTTCTTCATAAAAATGATCAAATTGTTAATCCATCCAAAGATGTAAGCACTGACACATCATTTTAGCAACATCTGTACTGTGATATTTGCAGATCTCAGTAGACTGAGGAATCAAGATCAGAACAGATATCAATACATGGAAGTGAAAATGCAGAGGAGTTGATGAATGAAGAAGATGATTGAATTTCTATCACAGTGTGATGTGCTCTGCTTGCATACTTACATGTGCTACCAACATGAATAGTTCTAACAGGACCTTGTTTACTAAAGGAGCGCAATACTTGTTAGAAAATGACATGATGAGCTGTTATCAACATTTAAAAATTGAAGTAATTCTATGAACTTTGTCTCTCCTCCTTCTTGCTTCTCACTCATATCTTCTGTTGATATTTCAGTCACTGTAAGTGAAAAGTCACTGTTCAATCAGCTGAACATCTCTTTAAATATTTCTGAGGAAGAGATTCATAACAAGATGATATTTCACTTGATAACTTCTATCATAATCACAGAATGAGTTTGCAGCATGATTTGAGACCATGACAGAATCTGACTAAAGATGTTAGCATCAAATCACAACCTCTATCACTGATATATAACTAAAACGAATGTGTATCATTTAGCATATACTTTCTTTCTTCATCTTGAGAGAGAGTGAGTGAGTGAGGCGGAAGGGAGATATTTCCGGTCCCGAATTACCAAGGAGTTGCGGTTGAGATTAAAACATGCTCGGGCGGCCCGAGGATTGTTGCGCGATCTAGAGGAAGAGATTCGACGATTTGTCGGAAAGTATCACGAAAATCAGACTGTGGCGCAAGACGAGGTGTCGGAAGTTGTACTTCCACATCTATCCCATGAAGAAAGACGGAAGCTTCAACAGGACGTAGGGAAGGAGAGGCAGAAGCAGGTGGTAGCGAATTCCGATTCGGATGATGGTGAAGTCGTATTCGTGGGTAGAAAGGCGCCGATGCATAATGTGAACAGCAAATCACAGATAATGACAATTGAATTGAGCATATAGAATATCTGCATCAAGAGAAAGACTGACAAGTTCTTCCTTACAGCTTCTCATTTAGATATATCTTAAGCAGATAAGAAAGATTCATATATCTCTAATGATCTGACATCTCATATTCTGCAACTCAACATCTTCAGATCATGAGTTCAAAGGTACCTGCTTCAAGCAGAGTTAATTCAAATATACTTCTCTTCTTTGAGTGCTTGACAAGACTGTTCTGAGTACAACCTCACTATTCAATATTCAAGAAAATACCAGCCTGCGTGGAAATCAATATTCATGAGGTGACTTGATATCTTAACTGGCTTGATATATCTTTGCCAGGGGATTGATTTCAACTCAATGGTATTGGAGTGCCGAGCAGTATATTCGAGTAGCTGCGTGGTACTCAACCAACGAGGCTTGCAATCATAAGGGGCGTCCGTGCTGTCGTACGACCTAGGTCCATATTCCATCCGCCCTCCTGAAACCGTAGCTGATGTCAGTTTTTAGTTGATTTCTTTGAATTCCTCACCTCATCTCCTCCATACGGGCTCTGCCTGCACGTATAAGAAAGAAAGAAGATTTAATGACCCAGCGGAGGATTTTCCTTTTCACGGGGCTTGGTTAAAATCATCAGTTCGCCGTGAGCATCCGGGAACTGGATGATAATATCTCGTCCGCCCGCTTCCTCACCGAAAACAAGAACAGCGGCAAGCCCCCGAACGCCTTCTCACGGATCAAGCCGACATAGGATCAAGTAAAATTCAGGAGGTCCATCCCATGTATGGGAAGCGGTGCTGGAACCAAAAGGCTATTTGTGGATCAGGATGTCAGTGTTGGTGTCAATATCGATGCGTCTGTAGCTAGCGTCTTCGGACCTCTGGTCCTCTCCACCTTTGGTTTTGACAAATTTCGTTCCTCACCTCTAAACGCATATGCCCTTTGGTGCTGTTCAGGAAATTGTGGTAACTTATTACCTGCTCGCATGCCTTTTTTCCCGGTAATTCGCTCACAATCTCATGGGTTGTAGGGGGAAAATGGAAAAAAAAAATGAATGGAAATATTGCTGGTTCCCTCCTCTTCCATTGGAAAGACGCACCGGTCCATCGTCCTGGCCTGCGTGTGCTGCTCGGAGTATTCGTTGCAACGATTGCGATCGTCGGCATTCAGGTCACTAACTTGATGGTGCTAAATAGATTGCAGAGCAAGAAGAGATGAAGGAATGGAAAGGCGGCAGTCATAGTGGATCAGTCGATGAAGACGAATCATTATGCTCTTGATGGTGTGTGGAATGCTGTTTTCATTGACTTCACAGATCATCAGAATGACGAGATTGTCTAATATCTATTGAAAAATGCGTTTCTCTGTTTGACATGGCCTCTCTGATGCAGGGTTGTGCATAGTATGGGTGTGGTGGTCAACGATTACGCCGCCTCTGCATCCCCTGTTGCACCTCATGTTGCTTATTCTCGAGGCTGATTGTTTTGTCGAAATAACTGCACCATTCCCAAAAACAGAAATATAAACAGTCCGGTGTGATTTTCGAGTTGTACACAGGTTGACGTCGCATAACTTGGTTGAGGCTTATATTCAACACTGGAAACACCTTAGAGCCGCCGTACTCGGGCCGGCGGGGGAAAAAGGATCTCCGGGTGCAGCCAATGAGGTCACGGTGCAGGCCAAGGGCTAGTGGGGGGCTCTGATGACTTGATAACAATTGATGGTTTACTAAGTTAATCCCAAACCGCTTAACTAACTGAGTGATAAGTTCTTCTAATGTTAGGTTAGAACGGCAAAGGATAGTTTGATAATGACGAACCTGCGGATGGGTTGGGACTCAGGAAGTTTGTCTTCGCTTCATTTAATGGGGATCTTCTGCCCAAGCACCCTTCAATTGCTTGTGTACTGCGTAGATCGGATAGACGGATTGGGCTGGATTACTATGAAAACCCGTATGCCTGTCTCTCGAAACGAACCCAAGGCCGTCATCGGACGTTGTGCTGGCGCGGGTTCCTCCGAGGTGGTTAGTCAACTAACTAGTAGTTGTATGGACTGACTGTACGGAACTATGCGCTCAACACCACCATGCACAAGCTTGGATGGATTCTCGAACATGGGAAACACAGTGACCTCGGACATCACAGTGGCAGTTCTGGTTGGAGAGAGCTGTCATTCCTTTTCGTGTGTTGGTCTAGTTAAACATGTACCTAGGTACTCTTCCCCTATTCAGATTTTCCCTATTGGCCGATTTTTGGGTTTTAATATTTTCCTTTTTATATATATATATATATATATTAATTTTGCCTTCCTTGGTCATCCGCTCCGTTTCCGGCGCGACAAACGTCACCGCGCAGTCCACACCACACAAATGGAATAATAAAAATCAACCGTAAGGAGGAGATTCTAATAAGAATGACCAACCTATATACCCGGGCCCAACCAATCACCATTGCATGCACACAGTTATCTGGGTAATTAGTCAAGATAAGAGAATCGATTTCCCCCTTCCCCCCCTCTCTTTGATAGTTATCGGCTCCCAGGAGGAAAAAGTGTTAACATACTTCCAAACGAGCGGCAAATTTGCCTTCTGCAAGATTTTCTACGCTTTTAAAATTTATTTAATCCTTCCCTCGCCTTTCGTCTGCGTCCTCCCCTCCATCCTCATCTCCATCTCCGCCTTCACTTTTCATTTCCGTCAGCTTTCGCGAGGTCGATTGTTCCTCTGAAAATTTAGCTATAGCTGTCAGAGAGCTTGACCCTTGGTCCTTGCCCTAATCCCTTCACGCCGACGCCACAACCATCCATACATCATCTCATTCCGTAACTTCTACAATAAACATCACCAATCCGAATTTCATATTGGCGCCCCTCTGAGAGAGGATAAACCCTCCAGTTGTGCTTTGGTTTCTATCCTCTTTCATATCAGTCCAGGGAACCCGGCGAATCCATACAAGTTAGAAATGTCTCATCTCGCTGTTGAACCCGAATTCGAGCAGGCCTACAGAGGTGAGTGTTTCCCCTGGCCCCTCTCTCCCTCCATTAGCTAGCGGCAGTCCAAGTTTTAGTATGCTCTTCCGGCGCAAAACCGGCCCAAGCAAAGGAAACATAACGCGGGAACGACAGTGATCTTGGCGTTTTTTGCCCCCTTTGGATTGGTGGGGGGGGGGAATCTGAGCTCTCAAAGATAGTTAACTCTAACCGCACACATGCACGGGTCTCAATAAGTACTGATGGTTTTTGGAATGCAGAGCTGGCCTCTACCCTCGAAAACTCTACTCTCTTTGATCAACACCCGGAATATAGAAGAGCTCTTGCGGTTGCCGCTGTCCCTGAGCGCACTATCCAGTTCCGTGTAACCTGGGAAAATGACAAAGGAGGGGTATGTGAAAAATAATGGATGTTCTATCATTGGATATATGCATGCTCTAATCCGCATCTGCTTTTTATATAGTTGGAAGTTAACCGGGGCTATCGAGTCCAATTCAACTCGGCTCTAGGGCCATACAAGGGCGGCCTCCGATTCCACCCTACAGGTATGAGCCCATTTCGCCATGGCTGACTGTATTTGCAATTGTTTTAATACTGACATTTCAATTCCTAGTGAACATGTCCATTCTGAAGTTTTTGGGATTCGAGCAGATATTCAAAAACGCTCTAACGGGATGTAAGTATTGAACCATAAGCAAGCGGAAATTCGCTGAAAAACTGGAGAGAAATGAAGAAGAGAAGGAAATCAACGTGATGTCCAGGAAGTTAATATAGCCTTTTTCTCTCCCCTAGTGAACATGGGCGGCGGAAAAGGAGGTGCCGACTTCGACCCTAAGGGAAAATCAGATAACGAAATCCGAAAGTTCTGCTCTGCCTTCATGATGGAACTGAGCAAACATATCGGCGCTGATATTGACGTCCCCGCCGGCGATATTGGCGTTTCTGGGCGTGAAATCGGATTCCTGTTCGGTGCATACAAGAGACAGCGCCATCTCTGGGAGGGTGTATTGACAGGCAAGGGACTCAGCTGGGGCGGAAGCCATATTCGTCCCGAGGCCACTGGATATGGTCTAGTTTATGTATGCTCCCCCCCCCCCCCCCCTTCAAAACCCACTCGGTTGCGCACATATTTCCTGAGTCAAGTTTACCTAACCCACCTGTTTCTCACGTTAGTACGTTCAACACATGATCGATTATGCCACGGACGGTAAAGAAAGCTTGAAAGGCAAACGCGTCGCTATCTCCGGCTCCGGCAATGTCGCCCAGTACGCGGCGCTCAAAGCCATCGAGTTCGGCGGCACCGTCTGCTCCCTCAGTGACAGCAAGGGCTCTTTAATCGCCCGCGAACATGGAGGCAGCATTACTCCGGAAGAAATATACCTCATCCAACAGATTAAAGTTGAACGCAAGCAACTATCCACCCTCGCAAGCACCGATGCTCTCCGCGAACGATGCAAGTACATCGAGGGTGAGCGGCCGTGGACTCACGTTGGCAAAGTTGATGTCGTCCTGCCCTGTGCGACACAAAACGAAGTCTCCGGCCCAGAAGCACAGGCACTGATGGAAGCTGGTGCTAGATATATTGCTGAGGGATCCAACATGGGCTGCACGCTGGCTGCCATCGAGCACTTCGAAGCTAGCCGTCGCTTCCATTCTAAGGGCAAATCCGTCTGGTACGGACCAGGCAAAGCCGCCAATGCGGGTGGCGTTGCTGTCTCTGGTCTGGAGATGGCTCAGAATGCCCAGCGTCTGACGTGGACTGCCGCAGAAGTTGATGAAAAGCTGAAGCAGATCATGAGAGACTGCTTTGTAACTGGTGTTGAAACTGCGAAGAAATACACACACCCTGACGAGGGGAAGTTGCCTTCGCTGGTTACAGGGAGTAACATTGCTGGCTTCATGAAAGTTGCTGAAGCAATGAAGGATCAGGGTGATTGGTGGTGAATGGTCTCCTTTAGTATGTTGACTTTAGAGGAGTTTTGTACATACATCACGTCAACTTCTTGACCTTCCAGCATTTTCGCGATAGTGAGTCTCTGTGATATTTTTTTCGTTTTTTTAAAATTTTGCTTTTACTTTTATTCTTTATTTTATTTTTATTTTTATTTTTATTTTTTATTTTTATTTTTTTGGCGTTCGATATCCTGTATATGCTCCGCTGTGCTTTTGTTGGCTTTCTGCATGGGATCTTCGATGTCATGTCTGTCAAAAATAGATCTTACGGCAATGGCTTTGGGCGGAACAGGCTTTGGGATTTGATTCTTAAGGTTTTTGCATTTGCTTGTTCATTTTATTTTGTGTTGGGAAGTTTGGGCCTTTGCTAATATACTTACCAAATTTTCATGCACATATATTCCTCTCCATGGTAGTTGAATGAATAGCAGCTCTAATACTTCCTTGTCCTGAAGAAAAATTGCATATGTAGGAGACACATATATCTATGTGTGGCACACATTGACGATTTCCAGAAATTGACGATTTGTATAATTGTTTTGACTGGATTGTAAACCAAGAGATAGAGACCGCAAATTGGTTCTCGAAGCCATGGCTCCATTCGCAAAGCATCTTTTTTCTTGGTTAGGGGAACATATTCTTGCCATGGTTCCTTCTTAAGGGATAGCCATACTACCATACAGTAGTGGCATTGACATGCCAGAGGCACACTCCTTTAATTGATATTCCGGTTCAGAAGTGGATAAGCTTCAGCGGCAATGTCACTTTGGAAAGTAACATAATATCAGCTCGACATTGTGCAATTTTTAGCTCCTTAGTCACCTGCTTTATGAGACCGCAATTGGAATCCAGAATTTTTTTCTTGACAATACACATTCAATTGCGCACCATGGCTCACGCCGGCTTAGGCGGGCTTTTCTCTCTGTGCCTAGGTAAGGAGTGAGGATTAAGAACGAGTCGACGTTCAATCGCCATGCAAGCCCTGATGGGTGCTTTGATTAGTCACTTGACGCATAATTCATGATTTGAAGCCACGTTGGGTTTGAAGGGGATATTCCAGCAGATCAAGTGCTTGGGTTGAACGTTTACAAGAAGAGAGAAATGAGAGTTGGTTAGCTGGCCACGATTCATTTTTGTGGATATCATCAGAAAACAAAACTTCAATTACATAATCCTCATCTCAGTCGGCTTAAGCCTCGGTTTATTTAGCTATCACAGTGATAGCCTATTCGGAAGAAACCTAGGGAATGGTATGACCCCGCATCCGGTAATATCCAATTCATTGCCTGCATAAGTGCTGGGAACAAACCGGCCATTTCCAAACTGATGAACAACAATATCGAATATGAGCAGCTGGTAGTTCGGGCGAATGCTCTTCGTGAGGAACTCCATCCTGGAATCGAAACTGTGAACTGTGTTGAATGACATGATCAGGTTCAAGGTGCACATCGAGAAGAGGCTGGAAGATTACGAGAGCTTTGTTGCGGATGAAGGAGCTCAGAGGGCACAACGCAGCCAAAACTTCCAACTGGTATTCATCTGACCAAATTTGCACGGTAGATCCGTACCTAGACCTATGCTTTGACACCGCTTGCGATTTTTACGATATCATACTTATTCAACTAAAAGCTGGGGTCGGGACTCCCGAAGCAAGGCAAGGAGGCAATGAGGTAATGGGGCAATTGGTCAACAGAAGCAGAATGTGATAAGCGACCTTGATCGGTATCAGCAGATTGAAAGAATTCTCTCGGACAGCAATGTTTGCCACCTGTTTCTCGAACCGAGATGAACGGACTCGCATAGCGATAAGAAAACCCTCCAATTTAATTGCTAGGAGAATATGGGGCTGAAGTGTCAGGCTGGCACAATGGATCAGCTGTCGCGAGTTTGGGCCGATCTTAAGAAGCTATGTAAATTGCAATCAGCGCATACAATTTGAAGAAACAGGTTGCACCGTCGTTGGACTTGGTGCTGTGCATGCACATACTGCGCACATACACATATGGCTCGTTACCCGTATTTCACTTCCGTGGCGTCCGACTGCAGGAAGTTTCCACAATCCCACCGCAATGGACCAACCTCCTCTGTGGCTGAAGAGTTTATTCCCAGCCACAGGCACTATTAAAAATGTTGTCGGCCCCACTGGGGCGCCTTTATATGTTCAGGTTTGTGTCAAGAGGTACAAACAGAACCTCAGCTCTGACTAGGTGTAATGTTTACAAGGTGCATCCATTTCAACCGCTCCTCTTTCATACTTGGATGTCATGAAAGGTTTTATTTGCAAGATTCTGTTGTTTGATATTGAAGTGCGCATATCCAATTGTCCCAGATTTAGCTCCACGCATCGAGAATGTGGCAAAAACACCGACATTTGCCATGATACCCTTAAGCACTGTGCTGGAACGTATTATGCAGACAGCTGAGGAAATACTGATTAGCGTCCGCCAATCTTGCAGGCCATAATGATAGATTAATGTACTTGATATAGATTATTTTCGAATTAAGCGAGAGGCAAAATGCCGAATTCCGAGATGGAAGCTCCGTGAAGGAATCTATCTGTCTGTGCATGCATCATCTTCTCGGGATTGCTTGTTGATCGATCTGATCAATGGACTAAGATATCCATGCACGCATATGCTTGCCAGCAGAACGAATCTCTGAATGTAGTGTGACGCATTATTATAAAGCTAAAATGAACATTTATCTTGGCAAGAAGAAGTAGATGAAAAAGATCAAAATTTAAGCGCCGGAATTTAAGCTTGCGTGAAGGAGTTTGTTGTTTTCGCCTTCCATGATGCTAAGGGATGATTTCTCCTCTCGACAAATTGGGCCCTTTGTTCTATGTTGATCAATTAAGGTCATCTTTCGTCTTTTCATCGCTCATCCCGCCACTAGTTGAGGTTCATCCAATCATCTTGAATTGTCCCGCTTGCTACGTCGGTGCACCGCCACATCATGGACGTCATCGCGGACAAGCCACCAGTGCTCATTGCTTGACCAAAAAGGACAAAAACCGAAAAAGAAAGATTAGGCGGACGCCAAGCGGGAGGTTTCTTCTGACCCCCCATCACGGAGGATCCCTTTCGGAGAGCTCTATGCGGATTGTGTATGGAGCAAACAGACAGATCGACAAGTTTATGCCATTGCGCTTCCGCAGAGTGAAAATACAACTGACAGAGCCCCATAATTCATGCTTGCTGCACAATAAAATCGAGATGGACGAAACCGCCCGCATTGTTGAATCGTGGCCCGACGTGCGGGGCTACAACAGATCCGTTCCCGACCCCTCGCCGACCTGCCTGCCTCGATGCACCTCGACGCAGTTGCATGCAACGTCAATTTGTCTTCTGGCACCGTTCTACGCCAAACAAGCCTCATTGGTAAAACCCTTTAGCTGTCATGGTCCCTGAGCATTGTGTTTACATCATACTAGATGTGGCATGTCATGAAGGATTCTTTTCAGCTCACAATAGTCTGGACTCTGTATTGGCTGAGACTTTCTACTTTTTATCATTCTTATGTATGGTCAGGTAGTTAAATCTCGAGACTGGAGGCTGACGAAAAGGGAGATGTTGATCCTGTGCATCTATCCTTAATCTTTAAACAGCGGTCCAACTGTATTTTGCTTTTTTATCTAGTTAACAATCATTAGGCTGGAGACCAGCAGATGGCCTTTTTAAACAAACAAAAAAAAAAAAAAAAAAAAAAAACCCTTCGGCTGACATGCGATGTTCCGAAGCTCAACAATAATAACCATCAGAACTAATCAATTAATTGTGTTCCAGAGTCATTCCTCTCTATAAGTGAGTGTGTTGTATGTTTCAGGTCTAAATATGTCCCAGATAATGCGGATCGAATTTCATCCGATGAAATGAAACTTTTCCAAGGCGCTGACGACATATCAAAATCGCAGCGTCCAAAACATGGTCAGTTCAACTTACAAGCCCTTTTCACTCAAAGCAAAAGTAAAACGAAAAGAGAAGAGGAGAGGAGAGAAGAATAATAAGGGCGACCCCTGAGATTTTGGAGTTGATACAGGCCATATTTCCCCCTCGCGGATCTGCGTCGCTACGTCCAATGCCACCACTAAGGCGGAATCGTTACTGCGGAGGATGTCGCCCGTTTAACAACTGACTGATGAGCAAGGAAGCGTGATGAACAAACTCCTTTGACCAACAGGATTCCAAGCAGCACCCTGTCCTGGCCGAAAATCAGCAACTAATTGCAGGCTAGGCAGTCGTAGTAGCTTCATCTATTGATCGTAGTCGGCCCCAGCGGCTCCACCAGTCCCCACCTTGGTAATCTTCTCTTGGCCGTGGACAAAATTCATTGCCCCTTGACTAACTAGTTAGTAGTAGTAGGCTTATGAAGCTTCGAAATAACCTAAAGTTTTATTCCAAAGTTTTGTTTCCGGGGTATTCCACCTGTAATGTTTATATATTCCTACCTTGAAGGGAGCCACCACAGCACTTTGGCAAACGACAACAATAATGCACTTAAACGCGGGGGAAACGGGAGAGATGCTCGAGGAATTCCAATCATTCTAACACAGCTTAAAGCATAAGAGAATGTAGCAAGTATTATTACCGAACAAAAGTACTCCATAATTACTGTTTGTAACAGTGTAGGGCACCGCGCGTGCTTACATCCGCCGTGGGCGTGTTCCAGGAGGATGGGTCTATGATTATTGCCATTTCAAGATACGGCTCCACCCACATCCCTGCTGGGATTCCCGATTTGGCATGGATCACTCTCCCGATTTTCAACTTCACACTCCACTCGCGAAGCCCCAAAATACACAACGACTGACATCCAATCATCTGCTGGCGCCATTGCAAGTTCAGCTCTCTTGAGAGACGCCAGGAGAGGCGGAGCTGCCAATGGAAATGCTGCTGTCTTGCAGATGTGTGCTTCGCTTGTTCACTTGGGCCTAAGGTATTATTTTCCAAAGCTTGGCTATTCAAATCAACCATTGCACACGTTGTTTAAGTTGGATTCCTGACCTTCACCTTAATTAATCCAGGGCTGAAATTGCGGAAATGGGCAAAGAACTGTACTCTTAACATGCTTCGCGCTCAAAAGAGCAACCAAGAATGACGTTATTCAAATCCAGGACACGAACGGTATGCAGCAGAAGTTACCACTTGTCACGCAGCTTCATGGAAATCGATGCAATTGATTACGGGGTTCCACCAAACAGTTCCTGGTCGGGGGAGCCGCCTCGCGCTGGCTTGTGGCAGCGGGGACCAAAAAGACGGCGATCCGTGACCAGACTTGAATTATGCGGGATTTGAAAGAGGTGAATTTGGAATCATGGAATAACGAAGCTTGGGTTTATGGCAACTACGTACGCTAGTTATAGGTAAATATTTACTTAATCAACCCATGGTTCTTGGTTGAATTGCACCCCTACCTTAAACATTATGACTTAGGTGTGGTCTGATCGCAACTTGGCCCGTTAGTCAACCCTGTTCAAGTTGTACACGTACAGGAACACCAGATTATTGTGTTCCAAGGCGCCTGAAAAGAGACCACAGGCGGGCTTGAACTGTAACTATCTACCATGTTAACACGCACTTTGAAAATTTTTTCCACATCTGGGAAGTGATGAAAAACAAAAATAAAGAGCCAGTGGAAAAGAAAACAATAACGACCAGGGGTGAGGTCGATCGAGGCGGTCACTAGTGACTGAGGATGGCATAGAAAATCCACGAGCCGGGTTTATTTTTTTTGGATGGCCCAAGCCCCTGGCTACATGCACCAGTATCTCACGATCTCAGATGATTTTGGCTAGGCGATACGCTCCCCACCAACGTAGAGGTTTTGCCATCTGGTATTGTTTTTCTTGCTGTACTTGCAGGTACGACGGTTACCAGGATTTGAGGAACTTAAGCTGCGACACCGTTCCCTCAGCTTATATACCCCTACAAAGTACTTCCAGGAACATAGTTTCTTCCTCTCCGGAACTTCAATATCTCAACGGCACCCTTTCAACCCAAGACTTCCTGCTTGGGTTTGGATAATGTGGGTAAGATTGCGACTTTCTCTTTAAGGTCAATTGGAACCCATGGGCATACCTTAATATTTTATTTTTGAACCGTCTTGCGTTGATATTCTACGTGTCTTACTCCTGAAATCCCTCATTCCACGGGTTTTTTTCTGGGGCGCATTTTATCTATTTGCCCATCTTCCCATGCGCACATCATTGGGATTCCTCTCGACAAATGTCCTTAGGAGAGACTCACCGCAGGACAGAATCTGGCTTACTCAAAAAGGTCCTGGGTTCGGCGTCCATATCTTCTGCTTGGATACAGCGACATATTTTACGCAAAAAGGTCTCAGATAATAGGTACCCATTCTCAAAAATTTATTCAATTCCACTTGCACCGTAAAAATTGTTCAAAGGAGGTAAGAGATTTCAAGCTAAAAAGAAATTCACGTTCTAGGCCAATGGAAACACCGTTCCGAGGTCACAGGGAGAACATGAGAACAGACGCGCGAGCTCACTTTGATCCCGTCACTATGATGGGTCTGTCAGAAGCCTCTCACCGCACCGACCACCCTCACTTTGACATATTTGAGTGGTACCCCCGCTATCAAAGCTGCCAGCGGTACTTCCTCGATCACGCTCAACATAGCACTCCCGTTCAGGCATTGTCCTCTTTCCTTAATATCTATCTCCCTTTTCAGAGACAACCGAACCCAATTTTCAATTCGTCTACTACAGAAGGCCCCTCAATACACACACAATCTCCATCTTCCTCACTTCGCCAACTTCATGCCCCTCCAGCCGTTTCCCTAGTGCCATATATTCGCCGCCTGGTTGCGACTGGCATGGATTTTCCAGGCGTTCTACATGGATTCTTTGGTGATGATTGGGTTTCCGGCGTTGGCCATCTCCACGAACAGGAACGACGAAATTACTTATTTGCTGCAAAAAGCGGCGGATGGGCTTCAGTAAAGCAAGGCTACGATATGCCACCTCTGGAAACAATACCATTTCTGCGACCTTTACAGGGACCTGTAGATGCTGAGATCGAAACTGCGGAAAAACTCTGGAGTGAATGGCTTGCAATGGAGGACTGGATGGTTGGGCCTCGAGCTCCCGAAACCTTCAATGGGTCTTCAGTGCATTCGCGACCAAGAAGCATGAGATCATGATGATTTTCATTTCATTTTATATTATTGTTTTTTTTTTAAAAAAAAAAAAAGAAAAGTTTTACATTCCTATACATTCATCCTTGGTTTTCGGCTTTCCTACATGGTCTTTGTGCTTGTCGATTTTAACGATAATGGGTCCGGAGGCGTTGTATCTTCTCAATTTTCTTGTTGTCTTGTCTCCTTTGTATATGGCAGTTTTGCCCCTTTTTTCATATTTATTTGGCATATGAAGCTCTGAAACTATGAGGTTGAAACACAGGCCGTTTCGAGTCATTCTGTCTGAATTCCATAATTCCTTTAACCCCGTTTCAAAAATGGTTGTTTCTCCGACTCCAACATCGATTGGTACGGTCGTACTCGCTTTGATTTAGAGTTTAGAGTTAGAGTTTTATCCCCCACGGAGAAAACCTGAACTTCGAGAAATATTCGCTTTCGAAAAGCATGAAGCGTAGGGTATTTTGTTTTGTTGGTACCTGCACGTACTCCTGATGTTCTGCTCTACCGGCCCCATACTTATGTGGACGCATCTTTGGTGGTAAAAGTTTAAGCGTATTTTTGCTATTTTCTCTTCTGTTCCTTTGATCATCTTTCCCTTAATGACTTTTTGTATTTCGTTTATCCCTGTCTTTTTAAATTGACGGCACTTGGAAAGAGAATCAATACCTGCACAATAATAAGCAATGGGCGTACAGTTTGAATGTGGGTTTAAAAAAGCTGAACATGGTTTATCATATAAGCCATGACACCCCACCATTAACCCTAATCCTAATCCTAACCCTAATCTACCCAACCGTTAAGGGCCGGTGAGGTTGAATAGAGATATATGGATTAGTAATATATGTGGTGTAGGTGCGGAGTATGGTAGACCCGTATTTATTTTAGATGGGGGTTACCAGAGTTGATATCATGGTTATAAAAAAGAGGACCCAACTTTTAAACCATGTTCAAACTGTAACCGTAATGCCCTTTGCCACCGGTAATACCGGCAATTTCAACTTTAGCGCAACGATTGGCGGCTTGCGCGGTTGCACGATCAACCATCCGCGGCAAGCACGGATAGCATATTGTATTATCATGGTCGGTCGTTTCCTGTTTGACATTTCGTTCAAAGAAAGCATAAGGGGCAGAGGAGGTTTGGAAAGAAATCACACATTATAATCAAACTCCTCCAAGGAAAATCTTCCATGATTCCGAAACATCTTGGTAACATGATGCTATCATTTATCAATGCATCTGAAATCTATAGTTCCATGAAGAACTAAACACCTTCTGATTATTGCAGATATATCTCCGTATGAATTCAATCGTCTTATACCTAAGGATCAAGATATGTATTTTCTTTGACAGCTCTGAGCATTCCCACACATACACATGCTAGTGACAACGGGTCATTTGGTAAGCACATTAAATCTTTCTCAAGCTGTGATAATTCCCTCAAGCTTCCAAGGATTGAAACAAAGATAGATCTAGCAACTAACTTTTCCATGTGTTTGAGATGAGAATCATACATGTCCCATGTATTATTCGAAGTTTAATTGGGCATCACACATACACATGCTAGCAACAATGGGTCATTTGATAACTAATCAATGTCAAATCACTTTTGAGCTTTGGTAATTACCCCAAGTTTTGAAAAATTGAAACAAAAATAGATCTAGCAACTAACTTTTCCATGTGTTTAAGATAAGAATTATATATGTTCCATGTATCATTTAAAGTTTAACTGAGTATTCACAGATACACATGCTAGTAACAGTAGATTGTTTAATAAGCATGTCAAATCTTTTTTCAGTTTTGATTATTTCCCCCAGCTTTCAGAAATTGAAGCAAAGATAGATCTAGTAACTAACTTTTCCATGTGCTTGGAATGAAGAATGATATATCCATGTATCATTTAAAGCTTAATATACATGCTTAGACTTATTATTATCACTACAAAACTCTAAAAATTGGATTTTGAAATGTGAGGTTGCATTTAAAGATTTTTTATTTTATATTTCATTGGAAACTTCTTTTAAACAAGGTATTATTCATATTTAACATTGAAGTTTCTCTGTTTCAGCACTTGTCAACTGAAAAGATCAGATGTCTTTGAATAATGTCAACTATCTATGAAAAGTTGATGTGCAGAAGCAGTAAGATAAGATCTAAAAGTATGAATTCAAAAGTTCTTAAATTCAAATCATTATCAAATTTGTTAATTAAAACAAAAACTTCATTCTAAAGAAAGATAAAAATTCTAATAAGTATCAAAGAATATATAAATTTTAGAAAGTTGTAGAAAGTTGAAAGAGTAGTAATTATATAGTTGAATTAATATAACATCTGCAGTTTTAACTTCAAACTGAAGTGGTTAACTTTTAATTATTTCTAGTGTACTTTTAATTATATTCAATGTTTAATATTGACATCTGATATTCTGTTCTAGCTATATATTTATCTTTGTAGATATTTGAAGTTTTTTTTTTAAAATTATTAATTAAATATCTTAAAGACTCAAAATATAATACTTTTACAATGATAATAAAAGATAAATTATAATATTGTTTATTTATATATCTTCAATATATAACTATTAAAACAGATGAACATTGATTATTAATAAATAAAAATTATAGTTATCTACTTGCAGTTGTTATTTTATAAATTAAGATTTTCAGACTACTAAACTTAAATTTTATCATATAATAATAAATGAGTAATATATTTAAGTAAATTTGATAGAAAGATAAATAAATAATCTATTTTAATTAAATTAAAAAATATTTTACATTGTCAATATAAATTAAATTCTTATATATATATATATATATATTAATGATAAAAATAGACAAAAAAATAAAATATTTATTTAAATAATTATTTCAAGTATATTTTAATAAAATAAATATTATAGTTATATTTTAAATATTTTAAATATAATTTTTATCAACTAAAATCTAACTTTAATTTAATAATTAATTAATATATATAAAAAAAATATTTTTATACTAAAAAATTATAATATAAATGTTTAAAATATTTTAATATAAAGTTAAATAGTATATAAATATTTATTTTAATTATATTATATTATTTTATTAATTATTATTAAAAATAAAAAATATAATTTTTATATTAAATAAAGTTAATTAATGAAATATTTTTAATAAAATAATAGCTTTTATTTATAATGTATTTTATACTTTTATAAAAAATTAAAAAAAATTAAAAATTAATTTAATAATTAAAAAAGTAAATATTATAATAAATTTTTTAATAAAATGATAAATATTAATAATAATATATAAAATATTTAAAATAAATAAAATAAATAAATTATTAAATATATTTATTATTAATATAAAATTTATTAATATTTTTAAAAATAATATTTAATAAATATATAATTAATAAACTAAAAATATTATATTAAAAAATTAATATATATATTTATAGTGAGATTTTTCAAGTTTTTTAATTTTAAAAGTATTTTTTAACTTTATTTTTTAACTTTATTTATTTTATGAGAGATTTTATTTAACTTTTTTAAAAATTAACTTATTATTTTATTTTTAAATTAATGAAATTTACTTTATTTTTTATTGTATAATAATTATCATATAATTTTAAGAAAATATTTTATTAAAATAAAATTATTAAATAAAAATATTTATTGATAGATAATATTTTTTTATTATTTTAATTTTTTTAAATTTTTATTAAATTTTTTTTAATATTTTAAAAATATAATTATATTATTTTTATAATTTTTTTAAATTTATTAACTTATATATATATTTAAAACTTTTATAAAATAATAATATATATTTAATTAATATATTATTAAAAATAATTATTTATTATGCTATAATTATAAATATAATTTAAAATATAATTTATTTTTATTTATTATAAATTTTTTATATAAATATTTAAATTTTAATATTTTTTTAAATTAATAATTTTAATAAAAGTTAAATATTTTATTATATTTCTATTTAAGATAATTATAAAATTTTAAATATTTTATTATTATTTAAATTTATATAAATTATTTTTTTTTATATTATATTAAGTTTAAAATTAATATAATATATATATATATATATATTAAACTTTATTTTATATTATATAAATATTAATAAAATTAAATATTTTTTAATAATTAATAAAAAATTTATATATTTTAAAATAAAAAATAAACTTTATAATAATAAATAAAATAAAATTATATATAAAAATTATTTAAAAATTAAAAATTAAATAATTTAAAATATTTTTATTTAATTATAAAAAATTTTAATTTTATATTATTTATTTATTTTTAAATTAAAAACTATAATTAAAAAGTTTTTATTAATATTTTTTTTATAATATATTATAAATAAAAAATATATTTTAAAACTTTTAAATAAATTAAAATATTATCTTATTAAAAAATTAATAAAAGTAAATTATTAAAATGTAAAATTTTAATTTATTTTTAATTTTTAAATTATTATTTATAAAAGTTTAAAATAATAAATAAATAGAATAAAAAATTAATTAATATAAATAATATACATAATATTGATCAAAAAAATATTGAAATACTATTTATTAATGTCAATTATATTCACTTATAATTATTATTTTTTTATTGCCTTTTTGTTTTTAAAAACCAAGTCACAAGTTCAGCTTTGATGAGTTAATTTTTTATTGTCTGACGAGGAAACGCTTCTTTATCATTCAGCCCCCACTAACTTAGAAGGCAATGATGATGTGTCCGTGATGTCAGAAAGTTTTGACAAGATTCATATGTATCAATGATACAGAAAAGCTGTCAAGTTAGTTTAGCATCCCAGAAGCCGTTATCATTAAGATTATAGCACCTGATATGGTGCAACCTGATTTATCCAACAGGAGCAGCTAGACTAAATGAACGTTCTCCCATGGACATAAACTTTGCTCTTCTTACAATAACTTTACACCTTCGGTACTTGCAGGCTGGGGCCTCCCTCAGTCGTCTTCAACCTCACACAAATCAGCAGCTCTTCTTGGTTGATTGTTCTAATTTGCATCTATGTCAATATTTTCCCCTACGACGTCTCTCAATAGGATTCCCTTAAGTACAAACGATCGTCAATATAGCATGGACTTGACCGGCATGGTACAATGTGCCATGGCATCGGAAAGGAGAGAGCATACTTTTCGTTCTCGGATAGTATACTCTTGCTATGCCACATTCTTTGGATACAATTGAAACAACGCGCGCTGTATGCGAAGTGCTTGCGCCCAACATGGATTGACCACCCATGGATATGGAGTAACAAGGCGCCTTGTGATGTCGGCTGAAATGATTGCTCTGTTAGTCAAATCCGCGTGGGTATTAAGCGTGGGTCAACAGGTCTCAGCAAAGGAAAGGAAAATAGGATAATCGAGAGCATTTCGCTGCTCAACTTTTAATGACAGGTAATAATCCACAAAGTCTCTGCGAAATGACGAAAGTTGTACGTCTTGGGACACCCAATTTTGATGTAAGACAAATCCTTCTCTATAATCTTGAAGCTGCTGACAGAAGATGCTCTGCCAGCTTGTGAGCAGACAGTCTGAGACCAAATTTCCCGTTGATGGTTATGATATAACCAAACTCCCTGATGAAACTCTGATTGAACTCTTCAATACTGCACCATTGCTCCACGACAATCAGAGAACATGTATTGGGCGCCTCTCGCGCACGTTTGTTCTCAAAGGAAGGGAGCTTGTACGACCATGTGAAGCAGAAACTATGAAGCTGGTTGAGGCAAAAACATCAATCTCAGTTCTTAAAGTTCATCAAGTTGTCAATACCAAGATGCAAGACACATTTTTCGGATGTCATCGTTACTTTATCATGGATTTTATTGAGGGCGATACTACCCAGGACTATTGGGAGGACTTAAATCAGGCTCAGCGTGAAAATGTTGTTTCTCAGGTGGCTTCTATGTTTCTTGCTTTGCAGCCAGCTCAGGTTCCCCAACAACCAGGCCCAGTAGACTGTCAATTTTTGGTTTAGTGATAGGAGGTGTTCCATTCAGGGATGTTACAGCAATGGAGGATTGGTTTAACCACAAACTTGAAATCTTCCAGAGTTTCAAGCAAGCTCCAGATACTGTTCCACTGTTCAGTTTTGATAAGTTGGTTCTTTATTACACATCAAGGTATTGCACTCCGGAATTTAAGGCTAGACCCCAAGGACAAGGTTTGGCTGATTGACTGGGGTGATGCTGGGATTTCTCCTGAGGGATTTGAATATGCAGCATTAGCTGCAAGAAGGTGGACTGCAGTTTTGTTTACAAATGTGTTTTTTGAATCTCTAAACATCCAAATATGGAGGGGCAATTGTCTCAAATTATGTATGCATTGACAACTGGGCAATGGATTGACTGAGGATGGGCTGTGGAATGGTAGTTTAATGCCATGATGAAGAATATTGACTGAGGCATGTCATTAATAGGATTTGGACCTGGGCAGCACGTGCACCTTAGATATACTTTACATTAACTAATATGAAGGTTGGATAGAGGAGCGCCTGCATATAGTGATATCATTGCGCAGCAACCCAGGGCTCGACTTCCATAATATCTACTCATTGCGAGGATTCATTAAATGACTTTATGGGCGTCTCAAGAATGCTCTTTGGTCGAGTCACGCATCATATATATATATATATATATAT